AACGGCCCAATGTTTTTATAGGTCTCTTTTTTTCTCGATTATGTGGTCAAATTACCTTACGATCCCAGTGGAAAGCAAATTGGTATTTACGAGTTTTTTTTACCTAATTAAATAGACAAAGTTTGCTGATTACCAGAATGAAAACGCCCCAATTCCAAGAGTTTTCATAAATAAAATAGTTGTAGGTTAAGATGAGATAAAGCTGCTCACTAAGTTTCAGGGAGATGTTAATAATTTCATAAAAAGGGGTCTGTACTACGGACTATCTTATCAATCCAAAATTTTAAGACTAATAACTATGGATTTTGACCACTCACTAGATAGACAATCTAGAAGAACAAAGTTAATGAACTTAGTTTTTGATTGGAAATGAAGTATTAATCACAAGTAAATATAAATAAAACTTTTATGATCTTATTTAATTCAATATACAAATAATTTATGTCGGAAAATTAAAATTATGATTCCAAAGAATTAAATGAAAACTTTAAAAATGAACAATAATATAAATAAAATGAAAACTATTTAATTTTACCTATTTTCTCAACCTTATAATTACTACCATTCTCTGCTCCCTCTCTGTTTGAAGTCCCTCATAATCGCTTCCAAACAATTTAAATTTGAGATTTCCTTTGTAGTTTGTCTTTCCTTGTTTAAGCAATTTATAAATATGTGGCTTCTTACGCACTTAAAAATACATAATCTCTTAAAAATATGCTCCCTCAAAATTTGGTACCCCTCCTGGCCCTCCACCTGTTATATTATATCCAATATTTTCTGCTCTTAATTTTCTCGAAGCATCCAGAAAAAAATTTTCACTCTCCCTGTTTCCTAGAAGCCTGCCTGGTGAAGGCAGGTGGTGGTTAATCGAAGGTCTAGAAAATTATCTTAAGTCAAGACATATTTCTCTATAAATATACAAATAAAAAATCATTCCTAAGCATTTTTCAACACTCATTGGTTTTGTATATAAATTAGACTACATAGCATTTTAAACCTTTATAAGTTTTCTCATATAAACCATAATTTATTCTTCATATTAAAAAATATGATCTCTGAAATTTCGTTTACATTTTCTAAAACAATTTAAAAATCAGTGCTTAGTAAAGAAATATGTAAGATTACAAACTGAAAGAATATAAAAAATCTACAAAATTAGAAAAAAAATTGTAGTGCTGGGATTCCGGGAAGGATATTATATAGATTCAGTTGTTTATGCATTTCAAAAGTTTGAGCGTAAATATTTTTTAAATGCAATTGTAAGTAACCTTAAAACTTACAGGCACTTGATACTTAAATACTAATTACTTCTCAGAGTACTCATTAATCATAAATTAGTAATATTAATAATAATATCAAATCAAATTATGATATTTTAAAATTAATCAAATAAATCACTATATAATTATAAAAAAGCATTTTTATTTCTTACTTCAAAATAGTAATACTAGCATCTAACCAATTGAATGGTGGTAACAAACAAATAAAATAAATATATGGTTAATGATAAACATAAGAAAATCCACCAAAATATTATTAACATTTTTGATCTGACAGGCCATTTTGCAGTAATAAAACATATTATTTTGCAAGAGTTTAACATTTTTTAAATCATAATCCTATAGATGACAAAATAAATAAGAATAACTTTAATCCATTAAGTATATTAGATAGTTGATCATGGAAATTAATTATAATGGGACAGGAGTGGACAAATGAAACACTAAAAATAGAACAACTCATTACAGATTAATTAAATAAAGTGAAAAATTAAGTCAAAATATAATAAATATAATACAATCATCTATGGTATGTATTATGTTCTGAGTTTGTATAATGTGCGTACAATGTACTATGGAATTTAAGATATATTATCTCCTTGTTTGGTTTCTATTCACATTGATAAAATTCCATTTTAATCAAGTTAAATTAAAAGTAAAAATAACCTAAACACATTAAAACTCTCTAAACTGTACGTATTGTTATATTTATTGATATTTCATAATTGTTTTTTTTACATTTATAAGGAAATAAATAAAGGAAAAGAAAATAATACAGTAATTAATAACAAAATAAATTACAAAAATTTAGTTTAAATTAAAAAAAAAATAATAAGCTAAAGTAGATGCTTAATTCAAACATAAGTGACACATAATGAGTTTAAGTAGTGGTTTTTATATACTTAACACAGAATCTTTTGACCAGATTACAAAAATATGAAAAAATATATTACTTTGAATAAGTTCGTTTGGAAAATTTAACTTCCAGTAAAATTCCTTAAGCTACTTAAATGCTACATTTTATGATGGGAAGTTCATAAGAATTTAAAAAAGTTATCATTAAAATAATAAAATTAATAAGTTTAATTGACATTGGCATTTATTGGCATCATTGTATTCTCCATCAGTCAAATAGAAGATTTATTGAATTTTCAACTGTAGTATGAAGAAAAATAAACAAAATAAAAATAATTGAATATAAGGATGGTTGGGGTATCAGAAATAATCAAAATAAAAATAGCAAAAATAAATAATAATATTTATTTTTACATTTGCCGACGTTTCGGCCCGAAGTTCAGAGCTTCATCAGGGCTAAGAAGAGAACTAGATAACAATAGATATGAGAAAATATAAATATTTAATAATAAAGAATTAAAATTAAAAAAGGTGAAAGGTATAGACTAAAAAATGTAGGTAGAAAAAAATTAAAGTAAAAGGAAGTAGGTAAAATGAACATTAAAGTAAAATAAAGTAGGTAGAATAATAACAGTAACAGAGACCTAAGAAATAAATAATAATAATAGGAACAAAGCACGGACCAATTAAATAATCAAAATAAGGTAACATAAGAAATGAAAAATGGTAATCTTAGAATAAAATGTAAAACAGAGAATAGGAATATGAAGTTATATAAGAAAATAATAGATATAAATAGAAAATTAAGATATTGTAAAATCTATCAAAAATACTGACTACCTGTAAGAGAATAAAAAGTTAAAATAATGTAAAAAAGATGAATAAGAAAATTAATCAATATTTATAAAATAGAGAAAGAGGTATAGAAAATAGAGCAATGGGAAGGAGGGAAAAAAAAGAGAAAACTAAGATAAGAAAAATAAAATCAGTTTTCTCCTTTTTTTTCCTCCTTCCCATCAACCTATTTTCCATATCTCCGTCTCTATTTTGTATATATTGATAAATTTTCTAATTCATCTTTTTTATATTACTTTAACTTTTTATTGTCTTATAGTTAGTAAGTATTTTTGATAGATTTTACAATATCTTATTTTTCTATTCATATCTATTATTTCCTTATATAACTTCATATTCCTTTTCTCATTTTTACAATTTATTCTAAGATTACCATTTTTCATTTCTTATGTTATCTTATTTTGATTATATTTATTTCATTGGTCCAGGCTTTGTTACTCTTATTATTATTTATTTCTTAGCTCTCTGTTACTGTTATTATTCTAAATACTTTAATCTCCACTCTACCTACTTCCTTTTACTTTAAGTTTTTTCTACCTACATTTTTTAGTCTATACCTTTCACCTTTTTTTATTTTAATTCTTTCTTATTCAATGTTCATATTTTCTCATGCCTATTGTTATCTGGTTCTTTTCTTAGCCCTGAACTTTGGATCGAAAAGTCGGCAAATGTAAAAATAAATATTATTTATTTTTGCAATTTTTATTTTGACTTATCACTGCAGCCATCCGTCTCTTCAATGATTCACTACAGTCAACTATCAATCCACAAAAATAGAAATATTTTCAGCCAAGAAAAAGAAGAAAAATGATGATTAAATAAATTTTAATAAATCAGTAAAAACAAATTAATGCAGTTGACAATAATTAGCACAGTTCTCTGAAGGATAAGTAAGACATGAAAAACAACAGAACATTTTAGGGAAATCATAAAACAATAACAACATACAAATAAAATTAATATTATTTTAAACTATAAATAATTTAGTTTCAACATATAACTACAATGATACCAATAAAAAAACATAAAATTTTAATATATTAAAAACATTGAAGATTATAAAAATCTGGAAAAAGAATCAAAACATAATTTAATATAAAACAAAAATTATAAAAGCTTATCAAAATTACAAACAAAACAAAAAAAAAATTAATGATTTATCTAAATTTACATTGATGTGAATGTATAATATAATTAAATATGTAGAAATGTGATTCAATTATAACTTGAGGAGGTAGCATTGGTAACATTCCGTAAATGTTTTGAAAAATTCTAAATTAAATAAAAATGAAAGTAAAACATAATAAATATATTAATTAATAGTAATTGTTTAAATCCAATTTAAAGTCAGATATATTTCTTCTATCCAAAAAAAAAAAAGTTGGAATCATAATCCGTTTTAAATGATTGTATAATTTAAATTTTTAAAATAATAAATTTTATTGTAACTTCACATAAAGTTGCAATTAAAAGAAGTAAAGAAAAGAAAAAAAGGTAATATTTATTCAATAATAATAATGACCCTGTTTTCTAATTGGAATAAAATTTGGGAAAAATGAATATTTCATTTGCCTTACTCTTTCACTCATTACTAGTATCAGTAATAGAAAATCAAACAAAGGCAGCAACAATTACAGAATGCTACATAATTTAGTTATTCTTTTAAGGATAAAATTATTTTTACTTTCATTCTTTAATTTTTTCGTAACTTATTTCCTAACTTACAACTTCAAGTTAACAATTTATAGTATACATCAATTGAGTATAAAGTATTTCATAACTGCTTTGAATATAGATGGGGTTAAATACAATAAAAAATTATTTTTTTACATCAAAACATAAACTCAAAATAAATACAAAAACTTAAATATTAAAACAAAAACAAAATATGGTGTCTTTTAATTATGTACTTACTACATAGTTAAATTTAATAAAAATATTTTGATTTATTACAGGTATATTGACAGGGCAAGAATAAAATTTACTTATTGTTAGTGTATATACGTACATATATACATTTGAGATTGTAATTATACAAGACATCATTAGCTAATATATAATAGCTAGATGCATAATATATAAATGCCGTTAAATGGAATAAAAATAATTTACACTTACAATGCTTATCATGAAACTAATTTGATATGTCACAGGTACATTTTGATAATATATAGAGATTTAAATAAAATATCACTGATGTATAAATGAAAGATGTTTATGTAACAATAAATATCTACTAAATTGAAAAATCATAACAATATGCACAAACGTTTTATCAAATAACCTAATAGTACTATTATGAAAGAATTATTTTATCACAAAGTTTCAACAGTCTGCGAGATGGTAGTTATTCTTGAAATGCTAGAATCAGTGTCATGTTATGTTCAAATTGTGGAAGCAGTGAAAACTATTATTCGTCAGGTGTCTGTACATCACTGGTAGTATGATCAATTTCATCTGGATCTCCATTTATTAGCAATTGATCGTAATCTCTTGCGAAAAATGATTTAATAAGCAAGACAGTCCTGAAAATATAATATTTAATTATAAATCTAAACTTTCTTTGATTGTTTATTTTAAAAATATTATGTACATAAAAGAAATAAAAACTATTAATCAATTAAATTGTTTTTCTTGCTCTACTGGATATAGTAGATAAATTATAAATATAATTTGTTATCTCTTCTTGCCAAGAGAAGAAATGATAAAAGATAAGGATTGGAAGATCTCTTAAAAAGTGGGTGGATGAAAATAAAAAGCAATCCATGGATGAGAGAAGGTTGAAATAGAATTAAATGTAAACATCAATTCAGCAGGGCAATATTGAAGCTTCTAATATTTCCTAGAGAGAAGGCCTGTGCTCAGTAGATAATGAACGATTCAATCCAATTTTTAATGTGAAATAAATAATCTCTCTATTATGTAAAAAGTTTTTAGTGATTTTCATATTTTATTTTATTTTTGTATTAGAAGAATAGGAGATATCAGGAGCTCAATTTTTCTAGCCTCGATAATGCTTCTCTCCTATGACAATTATTTTACAAATTATACAGTTGTTCATTTAATTACAGCTCCTATAACCTCCTAAACTCACAATAAAAAATCAAGATTTTAAACGAAAAATTTGAACGGAAATGATATTCATCTGGAGGTGGTAGTTTGATGTTTTCTAGTTGTCAGCCATTATTTTTTATTGAATATTTAATATTTGACCGTTGCATTATAAAGGAAGGAGATGGTCTGGGGTGGCAGTCATAACGGAGTGGCAGTTATAACCGAGTTCTAAGTGAAACTCCTAGCTGAATACATCTCCCTGAAGAAGACCTGCAAAGTAGGGTCGAAACATTGGCTTTTAATAAAATAGTTTTGCCACTATTCAGCCTATTTATGACCGCCACCCCGGACCATCTCCTTCCTTCATAATTTTTTTATCTAGACATTTTCCCTTGAATACAATATATTAATAATTATATTATATACAATATTATTTTATTGTATTGCGATATAATTATAATTATTATGAAACAGAAAAGGAAACGCAATATAATGTACAATGAAAATATTAGAAATGCACAAATTATTATTGGGCTTATAAGAAGCTGGACAAGTTGAATATATATTATGGTTACAAATTGGCAACAAGAATAATTATAATTATATAATAATATAAATTGGCAATAAGATGTGATAAATAATAAAGATTTTTAAAGACATTAAAAATTTGTCTGAACTGTGGTTTCATTCACTTTATTTTATCTTAATAAAAAATAACAGAATCTGAACTACGGAATACACGTAAATTAAAGTTATATAATTTGAGCAATGAGTAGTACAATTAAATGAACAGTTGTGTAATTTGTAAAATAGGGGTGGGTCCACCCAATTAGGTGGAGAAAGAGGTACCCCCTCACTCTAGTAATATTGTAAATATAAAATAAAATGTACAGTAATATTATAATAACGATAAATATTATATGAAAACATTGTGTTATTATGGACTGTTTTAATTAAATTAAAAAAAATAAGAACAAAGAAGAACAGAAAAATTGTATACTGTTAAAGTTTAATATTTATTTAAATAGAAGTCAACACACTATTTTAAATATAATTTTTGGCTAAAAAATATGGGCTATCAAAAATGAAACTAACAATTAGAAATAAATTTACAAATAATAGGTACCTAAATTTAAATTACAGATAACTAACTTTCAAAGAAAATGGTTGATTTATACTTGAATGAAAAAATATTAATAACATGTCCATCTGTTCCTATTTCAATCAGTTTTTAAATATTTCAATGGTTTAAATATAATAAAATAAATTAAAATAAAACTAATCTGTATTATTAAGGTAGATTTTGTTTATTTATTTATTTTTTTGTAAGCATTATTATCATCCAAAACATTATATACTGTAAATATATTATGAAGAACACTTCATCAAATTTTAGTTTACTTGGAAAACCGATAAGCCTAAATTTTTTTTTTCCTTCTTGATATTATAACAAAATATTAAAATTAAATTTTTTGTGGATACCTGCACTGATTTTTTTTTTTAATCTAGTATTTTACACATATTTTAACATACTTGTTTTATTTAAAATGACTCCACTTATCATTATATGAACATTATATTTATCAGATATATATCTTAAAAAAAATATATTATTTTAAAATTGAGAAATAAATTATGTAATAAACTTTTCTTAATGAAACAATTAATAAGCATAATTATTGCTTGATTTCAGTTACTTATATTAGAGAGATAAGAATTACCCGTAGGTTTAGTTTCAATTTCTCTAGCTTAGATTTCATAAGAAAAATATAAACATTAAAAAAACAAAAACAGAATGAAATCAGAAAGAAAAGAAAATTTTTATGTACTCACATAACAAGAACAGATATGACGGCCCACAAACCAGATGACAGGAAAAGATAGTACAACGGTTGGATATTAAGTACAGCGTTGTAAACAGATCGGTACATGGGTGATGTAAACAACGGAACAAATGCCTCTAATGTAGAGACAAATGCAAAGTATTTACCTAAAAAAAATATATATAGAAAAGATTATTAACAAAAATATTTTCAATTTTATACTAGTTATGAAGTAAATTGAGGATTGCAATCACAGTAAAAAACACAAATAAAAATAAAACCAAAAACTTATAATAACTTGTTTTAATTTAAATTTTTGTTTTATTTGTGTTTCTCAATGAGTCAACAACCTTCAACTAACTTCTCAATCATATTACCTACAATCAACTATTTCTACACTATTATATATTATAGTAATTGAAAATTTCATCATAACTATATTTTTTTTAAACTATAAAAAAAATTACAAACATTGGAAATATAAGGTGGTAATAGACATTTTAAGAATTTTTGTCAACATTAATGTGAACCATAGTTTTCGTTCGGGTTCGAATTCGGTTGATGTCAATTAATTTTTTCATCAGCTGTGGATTGATCTGGGGTCGGGAATCCTGCAGCACGCTCAGTCTCTACAAAGTGAATACTCTAAATTAAATACTTGATTAAGAGGGGAAACCTGGCGGTTGAGCGTGATCCTAGCAAGATCACCCTCCTGCACTACTGTTGGCCTTGAAACAGTACTTCATGACAACGTAATGAACCCAAAACCCGACATGGGATTATAGTGGTATAGGTTTTTTTTGGGTATAAATAAGCATATAAGGCTCATTATGTGGTAATGAGTTAAACTGTATATTACTGATAAATTTATCTTTATCATACATAATTATAAAAAATTACTTATCCTTTTGTAAATAAATACTTATTGTAACATAATAATTTGTATTTTTTTTTAATTATTATTTATATACAATAAAAATAAATAAAAAGGTACAATTTTCAAAAATGAAAAATGGCCTGAGCTGGAACAAAATATGGTAACTTTTAAATTAAATACCTCATTTATTAAGTTAATGTATTTTTCTTCACTTTTCATAATATCATGTAACTTTATAAATTATACATTAATTTTTCTAGAATCTTTAGCTTTCCGACACTACATTAGATGTATTTATTTATAAAAATTTGTTTTCTACCAGAGAAAATATTTATCTGTTTTCCCATTTAGTTAATAATCAAATTCTTTCATGACTAATATTTATCTGTTTGTTATTAAAATCAGAGATGGTTAATTATGTCAAATATTTAGAATAAACCATTATAAAAATTCAGCATTTAAGCTCTGTCAGACAATTTCCATGAGAATAAGACCTAAATGAAATTGAAGATTTATCTAAATAAAAATCCTCAGATACCACAAGATTTAAATCTGTATCTCTATTTTATAACTTACTTTAAAATTTAAACTAAAATGAACACACTTACCCAAATTAGAGGGCTCTACAGTTCTTGATATCTGAGTTTTCAACATTGGATTAAGAAGCGAACCTAAACATCCTACTATTGAAAATAAATAGAATTCAACAGCAGTTCTGGAAAGAGCCAAGAGCAGGCATGATATCGTAGATGTAAGTGCAACAAACATTGCTATGTACAAATCGTGAACATGTAATATACTACATGAAATGTACGATCCTAGTGTTGTCGCTATAACTGAAACATACAAAAATAATAAATAAATAAATATGCAAATAGAAATAATAATAAATTATATGTTTTAATAATTTTTTTAAAGAAATAAACATGAAACAATAATATACATATACATATTTACAATTTAGAACTACTAATACCCTCACTGAAATAAAAAATATGGAATGCTGACAACTCAGATGATATGGAAAGATCTGTAGAATGAGAGAAGACAGAGTAACAAAGAAATGGTCTGAAAGCAAGGCCAACTGGCAGGCGACCACGAGACAGCCCTAGAACATTACCTAGAGCATATCCAACGATTAGGTCAGGAAGAAGGAAAACCATAGCTCAGTTGAAGGAATTAGCGAGAGACCAGAATGTGTGTTCAAAGTGGTTGGAGGCTATTTCACGCTGAAAGGCACACAAAGAGAAATAACAAGAAGACCACACATTTAACTAATCTATAAAGATATAACAAAAAGAACTAAAAATAAAATAACAAAATGTAATTAAAATAAACACTAGTTGATTGAATAACTCGCATAGCACATTGGTCAATGGACAAATGAGAATATATTATGAAAATAAGTAAATGCAATGTATTTCAGGAAGAAGGAATTCATTTTCTTTTCCTTGATCAATTAATATAGTTAAATAAAAAAAAAAATGATGTACAAATTATAATAACCAATATCTTTGCTAATGAAGTTCCAATTGTAATGATTTTTTTTGTTTTATTTTGAAGGATTTAGAAGTATTTCAAATAACTATAAGTATAAATGACAAAAAATAAATGTCTGTCCATTCTTCGTTCCAGTACATCAGGTAGAAAAGAGCCATCTATACAACCTGACTTCTGTAAACCTCTGACCTCCCAACCCTATTTATCGGGTCAAATAATGTCAACTGAATGGTTCTAAATATATGGCATTAGATCAAAGTAGACAGCATAGAGTGACAATAACAGTGGGTATTAAATTATATTCCTTAATACAAAAAACAAAGATTTCAACATAGGCAAAGAAATTTTTTATCTAAATATTATTATGGATAGATACATAAGAAATGAAGAGGATAGACAAATAGAGTTTTTATATGTCTGTATAAATAATTATTCTATAAAAACATCTTGAAGATTAGGGGATCTTGTAATATTGATGTATATAAGGAATAGATATGTATAATAAATATTTTAAAAGAAAAATTAAAATTTATAAATAACTTTGGGATTATTCATATTTTAAATTTTAAAATTATATTTTATTATATAAATTTTTTTTTTCAAATATTATAAAAAAATTTATGAATATATTTTATAATATAGAATTCATTTTGATGTCGTTCTTTACTTTTATTATTAATTTATTCTTGAATAAATTCATAAAAGCATAACAATAAATGTCGAATTCCACAAAGTTCTGGTATCTCATAAATTAGTATTTGTTCATTTAAATTGAATGCAATAAAACAATTTTTGATGATTATAAAGTTTAATCTTTACAATGTTTAATCTTAATGTTTAATTAAGATTATTATTCTGATGCTCTGATTGGCAAACTTTGGCTCCGCCCATTCTCCTTATCATAAGTTCTTAACAGAAAGGAAAATTAATTCTTTATTAAGCAACACCAATCATAACATCATGTGCAATGAATACCAGATAAGAGTTGAAATGTGATTCATTGTAGAAAAAAATCAACAGTTATAATTTTTTTCTCATAATGTCAAGATTGACCAGCTGTTCTCTTCTTTCAAGAAAGAGGAGAACATTGTCTCAAGTTAGTTCATTTCATTTACTATTAGTAATAATTACAAATAACCTTAAGAAAGTATACTTACATTAAAATTACTAATGTAAAATAAATGTTTAATTATATTAGTAGGAATTAATGCATCTCTATAAAGTTAAGAATGAACCCTGAAATAAATATGTTTCGTTGGTTCATTGGCAATTTACAGTTTTTATAAAATGCTTTATTTTATTTTTAATAACCTTTTTTTTAAATTATAGTCAAATGCATAAATGATATGGGAATTTTCCAATCTATTTAATAATTAACTATTTAAGAGAAATATTTGTTCTGTCCACCCAGTATAGCATCATAGTGGACAATCCATTTAACCTCCAAATAAATGACACCTGAGCTTTGGAGGTTAAGATAAACAAGCCACAGTTGAGTATATTTTATTCAAACGGCAAACAAATAAAAATGTGTTATTTTATAAATTATAATTTATTGTTTGGAAAAAAAAATGGATTGCTTCTTTTCAATGTTCGATAAAAAATATTTGTTTAATAAAATTAAGAAAATAGACAGGATGTTCAGTCAAAAATGGTCAGAATATACAGCCAAAAAATTATGTTTATTGAGTTTGCCAACATTTCGACCCAAACATATGGGTCATCAACAGAGCTAAAAATTAAAAAAAAAATTACATCAGAAAAATGATAACTATGAAAGTATAAGAAAAGAAATAGGTATCGATCGGAAGGGAGCTGATCTGAAGGGGCTGGGATTGGACAGCGAACGGTGGAGAGAAGTGTTTAATAAGTGATTGGTGGTATCGCCATCTAACCTTCGGGTTCGCTAAGACTTTTATTATTATTATTTATGTATATATTACCATCATCTAATTTGTACATTCCATTATTTTCTTCTCTAATACTCTTAAAAATATCACTTTTCTGATGTTATTTTGTATTTGTTAATTTTTAGCCCTGATAATAATCCACATGTTTAAGTCGAAATGTCAGCAAACTCAATAAACATAATTTTTTTTACTGCACATCCTGACTATTTTACATCTTTACAATTTCAAGAATTAATTATATACCCATTCTAGTCCAACTATCATTCTCCAATTTATTTAATATAAGTAAATTTATTGAATAATCATCAATTCCATTTTAATTATTAATCATTCATTTTTCTATGGTAATCATAAAATTGTGCTTAGTTTTTGAAAAGTTGACCGATTTTAAGCTAGCATGATCATGTTTTAATTTATTTAAACAAATTAGAGTTTTTTAATAATCAGGTTTATAATTGAATTATCAGAGGAATAGGTTTTGGAAATAGTAAATATTTATATTTTCATAAATAGGTCCTTTCATAATGCAATAATAATCTTCAGTATTGAAGAAATCAGATAAGTTGAAATATATCAATAAGTGAACACTAAATCTTTAAATCAGTTGTATTTCTATAAAAAGTATCTCTGATAACCCAAGAATGAACCTTAGTATTGAAGAAATCCGATAAGTTAAAACAAATTTATGTACTGCTATAATAATTATACACTTCCTTTTCATCATTATAAAAGCATTAGTTACTTATTTTTCTACCTTCGAAACTTTGCTAAATATTCTTGAGATTCTTGAGAAGATAATACATGTTTTATGCTGAGAAAAAATCTGTAATCATAATTTTGCTAATATGACAATATATGTAACAATGGTTGCTTCAAGTTCATTTAATTCATTTTTATCATTTCAAATTCAATTGAAAGAACCCTATAGTAATTTTCTATACTGCAGTAAAAATAAGTTTAAGAACCAGAAGAAAAAACTAAAATAAAATTAAAAAAAACAATTAATTTACTTACCAGAAACTCCAGCAAGTACTCCAGAATATAAGTTGTAATCTTCCAATACCCAACTAAAACTTTTTCGGAGGGCGTAATATTTAAAAGCCATTTCACCTAAAATATAAAGATAACAAATTATAATTATAAAATAAACATGCATTAAAATCTTTGCAAGACTCGAATATAAAAATCACAAAAAAGTGTATACTTTTGGAGTTTTCAAAAATCTAATTTTACCAATCCTCGTTATTTTTTTTTCAGCTAATTTTCAGAGAAGTATTTTGTATACGTAAATTTAAAAAGTTTCAAGGAGAAGACTTTAGTTCAGTTTCAATAAAATGGGTACATCAGTTTAAGTACTACAGTATACACAACACAGATTTTTCAGCCACCAGCTTGAAAAGAAAGTACTTTTCGGTGAAATATGCCATATACATCAATTTAAGGGGCTTCGAAGAAAAGACATTAGCCAAGTTTCATGAAACTCAATATAATTGTTTAGGCGCTATATTCATTTGGATCGTAAGATAATTTGGTCATAAAATCATAAAAAAAGGGAGCCTACAAAAATATTAGGCCATTGACCCAGGTCACATCCAACAGCCCAATATTTTTGAGGGCCATCTTTTAAATCAATTTTGTGCTCAAATTATCTCACGATTCAAGTGGAAAGTAAATAGGTATTTACGAGTTTTTAGTACCTAATTAAATAGACAAAAATTTGGTTATCTCCAGACTGAAAACGGACCAATTCCGAGAATTTTTATAAATAAAATAGTTGTAGGTTACGATGAGATGAAGCTATTTACAAAGTTTCAGGCGGATTTTAATAATTTGATAAAAAAGCGTCTGTACCATTGACTGTTAGTACTTGAATGAACTTTTTTTTTAAATTTAATTAATAATAGAAACAAATACAAGCTTAAATATTTATATAGCATGGTATACCATTTATAATGGTGGTTGATATGACAATTATAAAAGCTTCCATCAGTGTAAGTAGAGTTTTCTTCTGAGGGCGTGGCATGAACACTGTCACAAGTGTTTCTTTCAGATTTACAAAGTTAAAGAAGCTTGCAGAGACGCCCTGAAAATTCAATGCACATTAAAATTACACATGTATTGACTAAAATTATTAACTTTTCATTTTAGTGGAATAGTATTAAATCAAATATAAATTATAATTTTATGGAATCTCTTCCTGGAATGGAATCTGTTCCTCTACAACTTTTTTAATATACTTCCTTTTTATAAAAAAAACTTCACAAATGATCTATCAGTTTTACTTTATTTAATCATTCACTGAGGTTTCAGTCCTTTAGGCCATTTTATTTTTTAACAATATTTAATATTTATATAAAATGAGTGGGATAGTTCAGTGGTATGGAATGATATGGCACTGACAGAGATCAAGTTCCTGGGTTAGAATGCGGCTGATGCCATGTAATTAATTTATATTTTTTGTTTTTGTTTTGAGCATGCTGAGTTTTGTTTTGGAAAATGAATTAGATTGAGCCATCAGATTTCTGATGTATAAAGTTCGTGTAAATTCGGTTGGAGTCAACAACTAACTGAAGTGTTTTTGCATATGGATTACAATATCTCAAAAACTAAAAATCGGACCTGTATATTGTCAGTGAGGGAAATGTTCATCATTTTACCCTATTTTTAATGAGATATTATTCAAAATTGTACTTTAACATGACACTGTGTTAGAAATGCAAAAAGGAAAAAACAGTGTCGAAAACCAAACGATAACGAGTTTTGGAAGATATTGATTAAAATATCTCAGAAACTAAACATCGGACCTGCATATTGTAAATCGTTCAGCATTTCAACCTCTCTGTAATGGGCTATTATTTATAATTTATATTTCATATTATTAATCTTGCCTTACTGATGTTTTCACTTCTATCGTATGGTCTAAATAACACACCTTTTTTTTTTTTTTTTTTTTTTTTTTTGTTTAAAGCACTGAGAACCTTTTGGATCGATTGTGCACCACGTATTTGGTCCGTTTTATTCCTAAAACATTAGTTTAGTCACTTCCGCATATCTTATTAGGCTTATCGGATTAATAGACCCATAGCTACTAGGGTGATCCACAAGTTCCTCCCCAAATAGCTGTATTCTAAGCCTTGCAAACCTATCACGTTGACAAACGATGTGAAAGGCTGTTTCATTCTCCTCCTGACAGAATCTGCATAGCGGGTTATAATTTAACTTACAGTGGCCAGTTTATATCACTGTAAGCTTTTTGAGAGCTGCCCTATCCAAACTCAGTAGCAGCTTACTTCTTTCATCACAGGAACCTTTAAGGAACATCTTCGAATGTCGTTTCTTCTCAGTCCAGTGTTGTTTAAATTGTTCACCATATAACTCCCTGATCTTTCTTCTGGCAGTGCTAGTACTTATTCCACAATCAGGTTTAGTAGTTATGGGAATAGTATCTGAGCCTAACCTGATTAGATTGTCTGCCTCTTCATTACCAAGAATGCCTGAATGACCAGGCACCCACTCAATTGCAACTCTATTAAGCTCAGACAGATTGTTAAGTGCTATAATGCATTCTTTAACAGCCTTTAAGTAAACATAAAAATTATTTAGAGCACCTATTGTTGCCTGACTGTCAGTATAGATTATTATCTTAGAACCCACCTCACTTTTTTGTTATATAAAGCAGGAATATGCAAACGTTTTGGCCCATAGGCCACATTGACATCTGACTAAGTTCCACAGGCCACTAAGTAAGGACTATTGTGACCTCCACCCATGTCCCACAGGCTATGGTTTATGATGAGAAAAAAAATTTGTTCTATAAATGACATTTCGCCCATGAAGTGAGCTTTCTAAGAGACAAAACCGATACAATAAATGTTGTAATAAGCTCACGTATGAGTAATTTGTTAAATTTAATATTTTTAAATAGTTTTTCAAATTTCACGACATAATCAAGGAAGCTTTTGCGGACCATAGTTTGAGGATCCCCAGATATAAGGGATCGCCAGTATCTATTAGACATTATTACATAAAATATTACATTATTACATAAAATATTACATTATTACATAAAATATTACATAAATCTTATAAATACCTCCACAGGCTGTTTGGATTCAGGTAAAAGAATAGTTGCATACAAAAGCGCGAGAAAAGAAGCGCCAGTTGCAATGGAATAAATTATTATAATAGCTGAATGTCCATAAGTATTGTACACAAAGCTAGAAGTAAGATATCCACTTATAATTCCCAATGTCAAAGTAGAATATACCGCAGCCATTCTAAAAAAAAAAATATGTAAACATAACAAACATTAATACGTACAAAATTATATAAAAGAAAACTAAATATTTCAAGTGTAAAAATATTTGTAGTCCAGTAAAAAAAAAGTAAATATTCAAACAAAATAATTTTTGAATTCCATAAACACATATGTGCCCAAATTTTCAGAATTATAATTCTTTAAAGCTTTTGACAAGTGTTATTGAACGAATGAAAGAAGTCATCAATTTTGGTTGTTTCATGTTCAATAAAAAAAATAAACTTACAAAAAACTTGAGTGATTTAAATTATAATTTTATTTTAATACAATAAATTTATGCTATGATGCAGTGATTAAAGGAAAAATTAAACAACCCACGTTAATTATATAATTATAACTAACTTTTCAAATATCTTCAATATTAGGATTCATTATTTTGCAATTTGAGACACTTTTTATGAAAGTACTATTGATTGTAAGATTTTACAAATGTGCATAAATCTATTTTAACTTTTCAAATTTATTTGATATCCATTACCATTAGAAGCTTCATTTTTGAAAATATTATAAACTATGAGACTTTGCAATCGCGTACCAAATTATTGGAACATTTCAGATTTTTTTTTTTAAATACTACTGATCTTATTGGATTTCTCCAATATTGTGGTTCAATATAGAATTGTCGGAGGCGCTTTTTATGAAAATAATATAAATTATCAGATCTTTATCATCGATTATCAGTCAAGTATTGATTTATATAAATATTTAGTATTTATTCAATCTTTTAGTTCATTATTGGATTATCACAGGCATAGACTTGAAAAAACTATAAATTTAAAGAAATCATGTAAATATACAAAAAAAGTGCCTTCAATAATATAATAATGGAGTCCAATATCGAAGAAATTCTAAAAGATTCAATAAATCAATATAAGTTTCCAAATTGATTCTATTTTTATAAAAAGCAATACAATAATATAAAATTGCATATCAAGAAATAATCATGGCACGCACATGCACACACGCCCACACATAGATCAATAGCCAAAAATCGATTTTTTGGACCAAAGAAGCTCTAAAATGTAAAAATGCACATTGCTAATTTGACACAATTACAATATTTACTTAACGAGCAGTGGGAGGATAGTAAAAATTAAAATATCCTCAGTTTATTGCAAAAAGTCATTAAGTAAAATTTTAATAAATTTGAAGTTTCTGATTCATTAAAAAAATACTAAAATAGCAATTTGATTAAATATTTTTTGTTATTTGAAATTCTAAATATGTATTCTATTTCCAACAATTGATTAAAATACTTAACATATACATAACAATAAAAAAACTGAAACTACATCGCATATAGTGACTTTTTGCACATTATAGTTAAACGAAACATACTTTTATGACCCTGCAAGTAAATAAAATGGGAGTTAGACTACCTCACCTAATTAGTTTCATTAACCATCTGATAAATTAATCTAGTGAAAGAAGTCCAGATAGTGAATTTTGGTTTTCTACTTTAATCTCATTTGCAGAACGAGAATTTCATTAAGTAATCTCATGACTTTTTGCTCTGTATAGTAAGAACACCTTGCACTTAGCAAATTATTCTATTGATAAATAGGATCAACATTAACGACGTACCTTCAGATTTAAATTGAGCACAAGTGTACTTGGTGACTTTTTGCAATGAACCGATGATAAATTATAAAAATGTACCAAATATTTACACTTAAAAAAAAATCACAAATTAACTACAAACAAATTTAACTATTACTACTGAATTAGTGATATTATTACTAACCTAAAAGCTCGATTGTTTTCATTTGTAATATCTGTTACATAACAGAAAACACAAATAAAAATACTCGCAACACCTCCAGCGAGACTCGAGCACAATGAAGGAAGCAATACCCACATCGGAGAAACATAAGGTAAATTAATAAATATAAACCAAGAAATGTAGTATAATGCAAAACCTGAAACAATAATTAATAGTTAAGATAATTTAACCAAATACTGTGGAACACATCCCCTTTTATGAAATTATTAACACCACCATAAAACTTCATGGATAGCTTTATTTCACCGGGACCTATAACTTTTTATCTACAAAAATTCTCAGAATTTTGACAAACTGTTTATTTAATCAGGTACAAAAAACCCATGAACACTCCTTTGTATTCCATTTGAATCGTAAGATAATTTGAATGATTGACAAACTTTGTTTATTTTATTAGGTACAAAAACCCATGAACACTCCTTTGATTTCCATTTGAATCATAAGATAATTTGATCATTAAATTGAGAAAAAAGGTGGTCTACAAAAATACTGGGTTGTTCAGCATGACCTCCACCACCAACAACGGCGCAATATTTTTGTAGGCCACCTTTTATTTCAATTTTATGATCATATTATCTTAATATTAAAAAAAAAAAAGTAAAAAGTATTAAAGAGTTTTTAGTACCGTATTTAATTAATTAACTTAATGAGAAAATGCACCATTTCTGAGAATTTTTGTAAATAAAAAAATTTGTAGGTTACGATAATATGAAGCCATTCAAAAAGATTTTTAATAATTTGATTAAAAAGAATCTGTACCATGGACTATTAATATAGTAATCATTAAATAGCTTACCAGCTGTTGGAATTACTATAAACGGTTTCCTTCCGTTAACATCACTCCAAAATCCTACAAACATAGATATAACACCAGAAACTACAGACTCTAAAATTAACTTGATCATAGTGATCTGTGTGGTATAGCTTTGGACCAATCCTTCCACATCAGGCTCTAGTTTTCCAACACAGTCAGAGGATGAGAAGTTATAAACGATGGTACAAGTTTTCGAAATCAAAACATTTGTGCCTACTGCATCTGTACGAACATAAGAGTATGTTAATAAAAGTCATAAATAAATGAGAATATAAAATTAATACTAATTTTAATGGTAAAATATACATTTTTTTTTCCTTTTTTTCTTACCTGTCAAACTATATAAAAAAAATATTACAAATATTATCGGCTCAACGGTTATTGGAAACTTTTTCCATATAATCTTGCATCTTCCTGGATAACAAATTTCTCGTAAAGTCGGAGATTCATCTGGCGTCATGATTCTTAATTCTTAATCTGTAAATACCAAACAAATTAATACAGAGTAAATAACTTTAAAAAAATAACAATTAATCATATAATCTTTATCAAATTTAACACACCACCTTAATTTTTAAACAAACTTCCTATTTAATGAAATTGACTAATCTTTACTTTATGATTCAGAAGGTTCAAGGACAGTATGCAACAGACAATTATTATCTCAAATTCTAATTTATACAGGAATTATTAAATACTCGACGATTTCGTTCGGGTTTATTCTTATTTACCTAGTCTGGAACTCAAGGTCATAAAACCACAATAAATACTGATGAAGCTATAAATTTTATATTTTAATGCCGGTAACAGCTGATAAATATTTTTTAAAAATAAGTTTGATATAGTCCATGTTAATTATTGTAATGTTTTGTTTTAACGTTTGATAAAATTTTTGATGATTAGTTCAATTTTAATAATGATGTTTTTAAAATATTGATAATTGCATTTTGACATTGAAAATGGTTCATGTTTTTGAGTGGATAGAATTTAAATGAGCGGGTAATTAAATATGATAATAATTTATCATATTTTAATATATTAACAATAAATTAAATTTAATATAAGAGTTTCATTACACCATTAAATGTATATTTGTTATAGAAGTGTTGATGATGGCTTAATATTGAAAGGTTTTATTATAAATTTAATATTAATTGAAATCATAAAATTTAATTTTAAACCTTTAGTGTATTTTTTTTATTAAGTTCAATTTTAGTGTTTTTTGTGCTTAATTTTTATTTTTTTCTCATACGGTACAATTCAATTATTAATTACTCCTAATAATTATAACCCATGTTATTAGTTAAATGGAATTTTGGATGGAATGGTACATTTACATTAAACTAATTTTGATCAGGTGTAAATTCATCTAAAAATTTTACTTTTGGTTTTCATAATAAAATTTCAATGCATTCATTATACCTGAATTTATTAAAACATGTAAATTTATTTATTTTTAAATTAGCCCTTTATCAGACAAGCATTTAATTAATTCATATTAAAGAAGAGAGAAAATAATTTATACCTTACAGGGCTAACTCAAAAGTGGATTATATTTAGATAAATAAAATATTCCTCCTAATTTGATTTTTATTATAAGAATTTTTAAAGAAAATAATATTCAGCCTTCTAGAGTAACCTTTTTTTTATATTTTGTTATTAAATCCATAAATCTAATTTAATTATAAAATAAGATGACAATTAACTTAAGAAAAATACAAGAGACATTTTATAGATAAATTCAATAAAAATGATTGATGCGTAGTATTTAATTAGATTTAAGACTAAAAAAATAGATAAATTTGTAAAAACAAAATAATATATAAAAAATGTGAATTAGAACTTCAAAAATAAAATGATTATACGTTAAATTACAAAGATAATTTAAAAAAAAAAATATTATCATAATATAAAATAAAATAAAACAATAATATACTTTTATTTATAAAAAAGAAGAAAACATAAGATTCATGCTTATATATTTTTTTCAAAATCAAGAAAACTATACATAAATCTTTTTTTAGGTTCGGTGTCATTTTATTATGTTATTTTTTAATAGATTTTCAGCAACCGGTCACCAATAAGATACTTTTTTTAGTGATTGGTGCCAATGTTTTACATACTTGAAAATGGCTAAAAAGTCGAAATGTTGGCAAATAAAGATAAACAATAAAAACGTGTCTTATTAGTGACCACTGACCGAAACAGATTTTATGTGAACAAACACTATAAAATTTAAAATCCACAATTGTATGATCATTTAGTTGAAAATATTAAAAAGTAATTCTGAATACTTGTTCTAACATTTTTTTTTTCTGGTTGGCACTATAAAGATACTGGGCCAACAAAATGGTCTTCCTGCTGACATTTAATAACATAATACATAAATACAGACATATATTATATAACAGGTTGAAAGAGGTCATTCAGACTCAGCTTGTTGCGAAATATAGTTTTCCAGATTATCTGCAATTGCAGACTACTAGTTCCAGATCAAACAACCAAATAAATTTTTATATGTAATTGAATTAATATTATTCAATTTTTATAAACATGTATGGGTTAAATATAAAAAACTTTCATTCAGGATAGCGAGCGTTTATTGCTTCAAGATACTAATAAAATCATGAAAGCCTACCGGATTCATTCATAAAGAAAATTATCGAAGTGAACTTATTCACTGACTCATTGCGTCAAATATTGGAAAAATTTATTATAGGATGATTATGCCTTCTTTATGTATATCCCAAACACCATAAACATATGATAAACCATAAATATTATAAAATAACACCATTCCCAACAAAACATGAACAAACTAAACATCACTGAATATTTTTAACCAAGTAAATAAAGAAGTAAACAACATTGTTGAAATGACTCCCCGAAAATTCCAACATGTTTTATTTCACTTTAATCAATCGGAAAACAAAAGATAAAATTGAATTAAGATAGTAATGATTTAGGACATTTGGTAACAAAATATAGAAAGCATTTTCTGAAGTTTGCTAACTTATTTGACCTGCAATACTAAGACACATTACTAAAGAAGACATAAAAAAAAAAAAAAAATGGTAACTAAATAAAATAAATCACCTCAAAAACATAACACATGAATGAAAATCACTCACCACTCAAACTTAGATTCCCATCCTCTTTAATTTGTGTTGGTTTAAATTTCTTTGCCTGTATTCTATTTATAATTTATTGTTTTTGAATTACTCATTGTTTCTTATGTAATTTTTATTTATTTATTTATTACTGTTTATTATTACTTTTTAAAGTTTCTTCTTTAATGTATCATTAATGGTTTTTTTCTTTCATAAACTTTCATTAGTTAGTTATACTGAAATTAAAATATACTATTATACTAGATTACATAATATGCTAAATTTGAGCATAGAGTTTGTAAAAATTTATAAATACACTTAGGCGAGGAATTGATGAAAAGATACATTATAAATTCTTCAATAATACATCATCATAGTATATCAATGTTAAATTGAACTTAATTTATAAATTATATATATTATTTTAACATTATAAAAAAAGAAGTATATTTCTGTTTTTTTTTTGTTTTTTTTCAAAATAAAATACATTATATTTTAATACTACAACTCTCTCACAACACAAATAAAAAATAGATTAGCACCAGAAATATGTTGGGAATCTAGTAACAAATGTTCAAAGTAATTAGTATCTTAGTGAAAGTGTTTTAATTAGTGACAGGTGATATTAGCTAATAGAAAACAAACATTATTTGCATTATATTGCCAACAAAATAAAAGTAAATTATGTATGGCGATAGTTTTAAATAAATACAAAAATATTACTAATATGTATGCTATGAAACCATTATAACAATAATTTAATCAAATGTAACTTGGCAATTTGTCTTTAACAATAAGTGGAAGGGACAAATCATAACATATTCAATAAAAAAATACGCATAATAAAATGCAAGAAAAATATAAATATAATTATAAAGAGATAAGAAGGTATGATCACTGACCTTCAAAGGATGAAGAGCTGAATTACATAACACTGCAAATAAAAAAATATCACTGCTAATGTCAAATAAAATAAATTAATTTAATGATCTCTTTATAGAAATTATATTTTCAAACATTTCATTAAAACATATTTTAGAGATGTGGGAATGCCATCAATTTTTCAGAGGAAAAAAAAATGTTAAAGCACAATTCTCATGATTTCAGAACTTGTGATGAATTAAAAATCGTTTAAACTGTCAAATAAAGATGGTAGTTTCTTTAGAATTTGTTAAGTTCTATTCTATTTGTTAATTAAATATTAATCATTATAATAACATTAAAATAATTATTAAATATTAGTAAAGACAAAATAACATATCTTACGTTATTATAAGTACATCGAAAAAAAAGAGAACGGTTACCCAATAAAACATGCAAAAATAAAACCAACCCATGCAACTGGTTCTTCCGAACTGATCTTTGACATTTAAGGAAAAACTAGATATGTGAAAAGTTGTTTACCTTGTGATGTCTAAAAAAGCTAACACAAATTTGAAGCTAATAAGTAGCCTGAGACAAGCTGTCAACTAGTCTTTGTTTTATTTGAATTATATAGACTCAGTTCTTTGTTTGAATCTAATATCAAAGAAATGACAGAACAAAACCAGAAGTAATTATTTGATAAATATAGTTTAAATTTTAATACTACTGTGCATTAATTAAATTAATAATAAAAAAAAACCAAGGACAACAATAAAATTAGCATTTATTACAACATGATAAAAATACATAAACTTGATTCTTTAAAACTAAGAGCGCAGTTATAGTATTGTATTTTCCACATATGTTTTTAACTAGTTCAACAAGGCTTTAATTTAAAAATACGATAAGACTATCAATAGAGGACATATATGACAATGAACAGTACACTCACCTACATCACAAACGTAACTGACCTCACATGTACACAATCTGAAAAGCCCGTTGTCTTGGAAACGTAGTAAATAACAGCTGATATTTCTCCAAGGTTACCAAAACGAAATTCTCTTATCAGCTCCCATGTGTGACCTCTTTGGCTGCTCAGCTGTTTTTTGTTGACTGAACTTTAGCTTTTACGACTTAAGAAGTGTTAACTTGTGGCAAGTAGTTAAAAGATGCTTTAATTTCCAAAAATAACAATGGGAAACGCTGGAAGTGCTAGCGGTAGAGATCGTCAGAAATCAGGAAATCATGAACCCCATTCTCCAACTAAAGATGAACAAGCTTTTGTTTTTGATAAAAAACGTGAAACCAACTTAGTTTACCAATCTTCTCATGATGATGAAGAACCATATTTCACCAAAGGTGATGATAGTAACGGTGTTCAAAATGTAAGTTGAATACAATATATAAAAAATGTGTTCTGTATTCGTTTGATCTTAAGTTTTGCTATCTTAATAGTTTCACTTCATACTTATAATCACTGTCATTTATTTTATTTTATTTCTAACTTGAGTTCTTAAATCGATAACATTATCTATCCTTGATAAAACATCATTGACCTATTTGTCCTTATTAAAATCTATATGAATTAAAAGATGATCATTATAACCTATATATTTCACATTTCTCTCAGCTGTTTTTTTCTTTGAATAATTATTTCTGGTGAATGATTAAATTTCACTATGGACTTCGAAATACAGATGTTAAAAATCCAAAGAGTTCAAGCCTTTAAACTAAGTTCTGAATGGGCAAGTTCTCGAACTTAACACTAAGCTCATCAGTGGTATCGGATTCGTCTCTAAAGTGTGTAAAACAATATCATTGATGAGTTACGGTACTTGTCAAATGTATTAGTATTTGATCGAATCATCTTTGGATGTATAGTTGAATTGGTTGTTTTAGAAACAATGTATACCATTTGCTTGTCATTTTTACTATTTTGAAAACTATGCAAAAAAACTAATTGATCCTAAATGTTTTATAATTAAAAGTTTACAAAAAATATATAGCATAAACAATCAATCGCTGCATTATTTATGTATTGTGTTTTCTTACTTCAAAAAAATGTTTGTAGAACAAGTCTCATCTAAAAACCGATAAAAATGACACATGCGAAGTGTCTCAAATTACTCATTAAATTAAGGTATGTAATGCTCGAGCTTCTCATTGGTACTACTTCACTCCAGCATGACGATTCTAACCAACCAAGATCATGTTGATCAGACCGTAGATTCAATTAAGAAAATAGTCAAGTTTGTTTCAAAAGTAGACGGAGGCGACTAATTATCTTGTTCAAATTCTCGTCCTTTTTGTTTATCTCTTATAAGTGAGGAGATGTTGAAAATTGCAATATAATAAAAACAAGATTATTCTCATTGAGCATAGTTGTCAATTATTGGACACTATTGAAACCCCATATACAGTGTGATCATATCGTAAAGTGATACTTCTAAAGTAGATGTTGGTTGACAAACTTCAGAATTTAATGAACCTAGCTCGCCATTAACCGATGAGGAAAATTCATAAAAGCCATTATTATATTTTAAGAAATTATTTTTTCTAATTAAATTTATTGAATACCCATGACACAGTCACATATGCATTAGTCTAAACAATGTGCTCATAAATAATTCATGTATAATTAATTAGTAAGAATTTTAATTAATGTGAAAAATGTACTTTTCTCAATTCTATTTATAAATTTCAAAAGTATTATTCAAACTTGCCTATAGTTATTTCACCAAATAGGTGTACTGTACCTAACAAATCAATTTTTTTTTTCTTTGTAAATAAAACATATGGAGAGACCAATTGTGTTGGTAATGATCATTATAGGTTCAATCTATCTATTTTTTAATTTAAACATGTTGCTTACCATGATATCTGGTAGTCTGGTCTGGTCTTAAGAACTCGTCGACCTTACTACTTTTAGCTATAAATTAAAGGCCATTACCATTTTTCCATTCCATTTCTGTTCTCCCACTCTTCAGCTCAGCCAGCAGTTCCTGTTCAAAGCATATTATTGCCAGTAAATATGAATGAAAAAACAATATCATCAAAGAGCCTCGACAATACTTACGGTATACTGGTCCCTGTCCTATTCCGTTTTGGGTTACTTAAGTGTCTGGTAGTCTACACTTTCATATCTTTCATAATGAATTCGATGACTTTGAAAAAGGAATTTAGTCCATAATTGTTATTAATTTCTCACCTTACGTTAATATCAGCATTAACAATATAACTTTACCAACTTTGCTTGAATTTGTTTAGTTTTGAAATCGTTTATCGGAATGCCCCATTATGCCTATAAAATTAGTCATGCATTTTCTTTATTTTATGTTATTAATCATTTGATGATAGTTAATAATGATTGATATGTCTTATAGAATATATGGTCTACTATTTCTAGGAACAAGATTATAATAACATCCCTCGTCAAAGATCGGCAACCGTGTCAGAAGGTACTCAGGTCACCGACCAAGTTTTTCCAACTGTTTTTAAATGGGATGGAGGTGGAAAACAAGTTCTCATCAGTGGAACGTTTTCTAATTGGAAAACTATCCCCATGGTCAAAAGGTATGTTGCAAATCAAACTCGTTTTTATGGTGTAGTAATTTTACGATTATTTAAGTATTTGATATTTTATTTTCTCAAAAAATATTGAACTTCTAATTAATTATTTTATTATTAACTTATTTTATATTTTTAATATGGTGTGAAGATGATCACAACTGAAGAATTAACAAACCTTTGTATTTTCCTATATCGACTCATAAGATTTTTTTATGGCATATCTTCAAACTCCTAATCAGTTTTAGTTTACAAGTGTTGCTCTACTTTGATGAGTGGACAAAAATTTTCCGATCACACTATACATATGATTCTGAGTGTAGATAGAGGTGACTACTATATGATAAGGCTCCGATCTCAACTAAAAAGGATCCATTGGTTATCTGTGCATCGTTTCTGAGTGACTGTAATCTGAAATCCAAAACAGCCATGTAACTAAAGCTAGTTAGGGTCCTGATTTTAACTGAAACGGACAGTTTTGGAGTTACGGGATGATTTCGATAATCTGAACAAGAAAAAAAAGTAAAAGTTGACTGACAAGAGAATGAATGGATATGGTTCTATTTCTCACTATACATTACTGAAATTGCTCTCTGTGGTAGTTTCGAAATTATATTGCGGTACCTCTTAATGAAAACATTTAAACTAGCTGGTCATCCAGAAGTTGAGAAATCTGTTAATATGTGGTTTTCGCAGCAGAGATCACAGGAGTGTCCGGTTTCCATGAATATTGTAATATATCAAAATTTAATAACAATAATACTCTTGGAAGATCACTTCAATATCATGGTGAAACTTTCCAAAACAAATAAAAATGTTGTTAAAGAAAACAAAATTTTAAGAGTCTTGTTAAATTAAAATGAAATTACAATGGTTTTATCTCAGAACATGGATTAATGACCATCAGACCAATTTCTTAGAAAAACTAAAACTATTTAAACTAAACACTGTTTTCATTTTAATATAAAATCAAAGATAAACTGGCAAGCTAACCTTTATAATAACTGTATTTTCATGGCTGCAAGTATTTTATATTTAAAACACATTCAATAATATGTTGGGATGGTAACACTATTGTGGATTTCTTCTAATCAAGTCCTTCTCTATTCAAGTTCTTGACACATCATATCTTCTACACACCCAAACAACAAGTGAACTCTTTTGTCTATTCTCAAGTAGCCATTTTCTTCTTTGTTCATCCCCAAGCAGCCATTTTCTGACACCTGAACTAGTGAAACTATTTTTCAAATTTAAACATCCCTTGACATTAGCAGAACTAGATTAGCTTGCCTTTACTGTTCAACATTAGTTTACCAAACCATTTTTACCAACATCCAATAAAAGTTAATATTACAATATATTAGCTGAAAAGACCATGGTTTCCTTTAATATTTTTTCTAAGAAGGGTGATATCAGATTTTAAGGCCAGTAAGGTTGGCTTGATTATTTCAAAAGAAGATATGGGACATGTTTTTTTTATATTAATTTTCAATTCACCTGAAATTTTGTTTACACCCACTTTATTTTTCATTATTGACAAGTCATAAAAACGCCATAAAGTCGTAAATAAACGATATAACGTCAACTGCCGAAGCCTGCTACTTTTAAGTTTTTACGAGATCAAGTGTTCTCTTTAGCATATAAATCAGAGACTTGATTTAGAATATCTGTTTTTTTTTTTTTTTTTTCAGAAATAATGTTTTTATTTATTTATTTTATTTTACCTTGCGCTCATCCATTGAAGTGGAGCTTCACTTGTAAAGTAGTAGCTCCTAATCTTATTAATTGAATTACCTACCTTATTTTATTTGCTATTATTTAAATAGATTTTTTTTTAAAGATTATGATACATTATGAAAATTTACTGGATTTTTCAAAAAATAAAATATTTTATTTTTGATGTTATGGTTTTTTAAAATTGGTTATAAAAAGTTGTTAAATTTTTTATCAACAGTAGTTATTGTTTTCAATCATATCATTGATTTAAATTTAAAAAATTAGGTATTATTAAAATTAATATCAGATATTAATTATTGTAGCCATGGAGATTTTGTAACTATCATAGATCTTCCGGAAGGAGATCATCAATACAAGTTCTATGTAGATGGAGAATGGAAGCATGATCCAGCATCAGTGAGTAAAATCTATTATTTGTAAAGAGGAATATAATTAGTTTAGAAAGTTTAATTATGTACTTTTCCATTAATTAACACAATAAAAAATTGTAAATTCTTCACTCTGTTTAAAATATATATATATATTTAACCCTATATTGAAATGATAAAAACTTAACATTTTTCTATTTTTATAGCTGCATGTATCAAGTCATGTAAAGTATGAGGTTCGGTATAGTGCATCTAAATTAAGTTTGAGTTTAGAGGAAGAAAGCTCGCGCAGCTTTCCCTCACTCAAGTTCCACCTCTCCAAGACCTCTCTCCAGCTTATACCGGGAAAACATTATTCCATCTTCTTCAAATTTCGCACAAATGTTTATTAAAAAAGGTATGGATTTTAATTAAAAAATAAAATAAAACAATGAAAAGGATGGTTAAAGAATCAAATTGAGAGAAAAATATTTATGAATTCGCAAGGCCTACTGTTCACAGAACTAGTTACTAGGATCTGTAGATTTAAATTTACCAAGAAATAGATCGTAAAAAAATCAAGAAATAGATGGAAAATATAGAACAGAAAAGAATCCCATATTAGGTTATCGGATATTCAATAATTGGGAGAAGCCTTTTTCATTTACTTCTGAATGTAAACAAAGAGAATTGCCCACATTATGTATTATTTTAGACTGTGTATATTAGCTAGAATCAAATGAATCACAGTATGTAAACAGCTAACCTTTCTGTGAATCAATGTTGGAAATAGGAAAAGAAATGGATAAATAAATGTCTACAAGTAAACAAAAATTTAGAAGTACTTATGGCTGAGTAGAGAAGACAAAAGAGGAGAGGGGGAAGGGGTAGGCAGGTTATCAAAGTTATCTTAGATAGAGTCTACTTGGTAAGGAAATAGTGTTTCTAGGCCAAAGGTTCTAGAAGGATGTGATTAGACCAAGATCACTCTCAGCAATGAGATTTTCCTCTAATTAAGAGTACAGTAGAATCCCTGTTAACTATCCGCCACACGTTCGCATAAACTGGCCTAGTGATAAAAATAAAAAAGAAGTACTTCTAGAGAGAAACTGTAGGTTAAATAAAACTGTTTTAGGCATTCAAGAAAAATCAGGTACTGGAGGTGCCTCTATGGATCAAGGGTGATCAAATTGTCAAAAGGGAATTACAATCATAATTTTTTTTTTCTGAAATTTTGCAAAATTCAGAAAATGAAAAACTATCCTTGCTTGAAATCATAAAAACAATTATTATCAAGAATATGACTAATATAATCTAAGGGTTTCAAAGAAATTACAAATTCTAAGTTCTTGAAATCATGGCTGAAACTTTTATTACTTGAGATAACAATATATATATATATATATATATATATATATATATATATATATATATATATATATATATATATTGTAATGTACACCTTTATTGGAAGTTTGTGGAAATGGTTTAGTTAATAAATGTGGAACAGTTAAAAAGCAAGCTAATGTCAAGAGTTTTTTTAATTTGAAAATAGTTTCCTTTGTTGAAAAAAAAAGAAAATGGCTCCTCTTGAAGGGAAACAAAGAAAGAAAATGGCTGCTTTGGTATGAACTAAGAAGGGCACTTGATGTTTGGTTCTGTTGAAGAGAAGACCTCTAGTGGGAGCTCCTGACTTGAGTGGATGAAATCCAGAAAAGGATTACCAAGATTATTGGAAGAAGTTTTAAATAAAAGATAGTTAAAGTGAAATGAAGATACAGATGTGTAAAAAGGTTAGCTTGCCAGTTTAACTTGACTTTATAGTTATGTGCAAACAGTTTTTAGTTTTTTTCCCTGAAATCAAATCATTGTAATTCCATCATAACCTTCATACCACAAGGTGAAATTTAGTTACATATACCACAAGGTGGAGTGTTCGAACACTCCACATATTTTTTTCATATTTTAAACAAACAATAGTATATTATAACTACCATAATCCCTGCCAATATTCTAAAATATGTTGAAGTGTTTCCATTCAACATACCTATGTAAAAATTATGATTCAACCAATTTTTTCAACTTTTTTTAAGAACTTACTAAGTCTTTTCAGCAATTCTTAAAGCATATAATTACATGGAGATTAGTAAATGAAAATATGTAGTTTTTTCAGTGAAATCGACAATTTTTTCAACCAATTTCATAATTTTGCCAACTTAACTTAAATAGTTTAAATTATTATAGAATTGCTTAAAATGTGAATTATACTAATCAGTTTAAATTGAAAATCAAATAAAATCTAATGAAAAGGTTCGCAAAAAAAGTATAAAGTGATCGCACAGCTCGAGGAGAGTTTCGACTTCGTGTTTCAGTCGAAATACCAACTTTTAATTGGGTTTCCTTTTAAAACTGTTTTATGAGCATTGTTTATAATGCTTAAAAATCATGACTAAATTTTAAAACCATAAGCCACAAGTTGGGATGCAAAAACATCCCAGAGCACTTTATTTTCACAAACTAAAGAAAAAAACACGTTACTGATCTTCACACTTAATGTGCCTTCGGAAACGTCAAGTAGATGACTTGATATGAGGCCACTAAAATCTCTCTCTCTGTAACATTTCTCCACATCTGGTACATCGTACAAAGAGCGTCTAGGGGTATTGGAATACCCCACCTTGTGGTGTGAAGTTTAATGTATCAAAAGTTTTAAAATTTGGTTTTATTTAATAACCTTTTTATTTATTTTGGAAATTTTAACTCTAATTTTGAAGTGATCTTCCAGAGATATTATTATTATTAATGATGTAGACCTTGTAATATATATATATATATATATATATATATATATATATATATATATATATATATATATATATATATTACAAAATAGTGTCATTCCACAGTTTTGTAAATACCTCCCTTTAAAATACCTACATCTCATGTTAACGTGTTAAAATGGGAATCAGCTACAGTTTCATTACCGAGGTAGCTAGTTAAGAGGAATTTCGCTGTGCCAACTTTAAAGTGTGAACTGTAGGAACGTCTCTTCATCCCACAGCCTTATAAAATAGTATAAATATTTAAATGTCACAGTTTTCAGTTTTTGTATAAGCCAACATTACACCGATGTTTTCACTTTCACAATCCTATCACGATGTTTCAGCTCGTCGAGCCACTTTCAAGTCTATCATGTAATTATCCATTACATTTCTTATGTAAAGTACATGCGCCTCCTCCTAATAGCCAGTATCATACTTGTCACATCTATTTTTAACTATTACATTACTTATTATTAAAAAATTTATTCTTAATAAAAGATTTATATAATATTGAATTATACACAAACCCAGGTCTGAAAGCACAGTGGCTTATTCACTTGCTTAACCCACTCCTTGATAGAATCTTATTATTAACTATAATAATGAATATTTAATTCTGATTATTAATGTTCTCATACTTATTTCAGAAAGTGGTGGAAAATGGCATGGGATCAAAAAATAACTTAATAGCTGTGAAAAATACAGATTTTGAAGTTTTCCAAGCATTGGCAATGGACAGTGAAGGTGGATCTTCTAACCAGCAAAGTAAGTTTTTTTAAAGTTATTTGTAATGTTCTGCTTTCTTATCAATGCTTTAGTTATTTTGGCTTAATAATTGTTATATATTGTGTCATTTATAGAAAATCAATTGTGTCATTATTCTACTATTTTTGTCATATAATTACAAGCAGGAAAAACACCGCTTAAATATTATCACTTACAAGAAGATGCAATTCACTGATTTCAATGAAACTATTTTTGTTGATACCATGCCAAAAAAATTTGAGACTCTTGTCCAATGGTTTTTGCCATTGTACCTAGTCCATGTTACAGACCCCTTTTTATCAAATTATTATTATCTGCCTGAAACTTTGTGAATAGCTTCATCTCATTGTAACCTACAAATATTATATTTACAAAAATTCTCATAATTGTTGCCTTTTTTAATCTGGAGATTTTCAAACTTTGTTTATTTAACAGCTACTAAAAACTCATAAGTGCTCATTTGCTTTCCACTTGGATCGTAAGATAATGTGAGCACAAACTCGAGAATAAAGATGGCCTTAATAAATATTGAGCTGTTTTTATTTACCTACACTGCCAAAATGTCAAAATAACGAAGTTTTATAGGCCAAACGAACCAATAATTTTGTATGCCACCTTTTCCTCGAGTTTGTGATCAAATTATCTTATGATCCAAGTGGGAAGAAAATGAGTGCATACGAGTTTTTAGTACCTAATTAAATAGACAAAGTTTGCAGACCTCCAGATTGAAAATGCCCCAATTCCAAAAGTTTTTGTAAATAAAATAGTTGCAGGTTGTGATGAAATGAAACTATTCACAAAGTTTCAGGCGGATGTTAATAATTTAATAAAAAGGGGTCTGTACCACGGACTAACCCTACGACTCGAGAAAAAAATATTTTATAAAACCTTAACATTTTTTATGTTATTTCTGCCTTTGCTCTGCATAGATTTCTAGTTTATTATATATTAATTGATTTGTTTTTTGTTTTTTTGTGTGTGAAATAAGAAAAACATATTGCTGATTGTTTCGAACAAATTCAAATGTATAATATAATAAATTACGATAACCAAAAGTCACTTCCTGTAAAGTAGATCATGTAAACTTTTGTTGTGAAAAAAATACATATATCTTAAAATAATAATAATCTCAATCCATTTGTGTTTATAGCTTGTAGAAAAACTTTTTTTAATTTTTTTGAACTGGAATTCATCCAAATAATTTGGTTAAATGGAGAAAGCAAAAAAATAAATTTTATAGACTGTTTGCCTTGCGAAAAATATCCTGATCTGCTGGATTCCTTATGAATCAACTCTAGAAGTTGGTTTGTCGCTAGTTTTCCTGAAAATCTTCTTCCTACGATTGGTTGTAACTACGAAGGTGGTCTGATAAATTCCCGACTTATTTTTCAATATAGTCTCCTTGTACCTCTATACACTTCTCCCAGCGATGCTCCCATTTCTGTAACCCGACCAAAAATTACTCGTCATTTTTCTCTGCAAAATAATTGTTCACGAAGGTGATTGCCTCTCCATTTGACGAAAATCTCTGTCCTCCAAACGCAATTTTTAGATAAGGAAACAAAAAGAAGTCGCTTGGTGCTAGATCTGGTGAGTAAGGCGGATGGTAAAGTAATTCAAACCATAATTCGTGGATTTTTGCCATAGCAACTGCTGAGGTATGAGACGGTGCATTGTCTCACAGAAAAGAGGCAAATAATATAGAAGGCAGATAACAATTTTTTATGTGTTATTTTATTTATAAGATGCAGAGGATAATCATGTTTGCTGCCTGTTGACTTTTAATTTTCATTGAATTTTTTAGGTGAATATTGTCAAGAAATACCGCCAATGAAACCTTGGGAAAAACCAGTAGGTCCCCCCATTTTGCCACCGCATCTTCTGCAAGTTATCTTAAACAAGGACACACCGATTTCAGTTAGTAAAATTTATTATAGCCCAAATAATTATTTGTATTTATAATTCATGGATTTTACTTTAAAAAAATTTTTATATTTTCAGTGTGAGCCTACTCTTTTACCTGAACCAAATCATGTAATGTTAAACCATCTTTATGCTTTGTCAATTAAAGATGGTGTTATGGTGTTGAGTGCTACTCATCGGTATAGGAAAAAATATGTTACTACATTGCTTTATAAGCCTATATGAGGTACAATACATTACTTTTTTTTTTTCTTTTTTATATTTGTGATGTTAACTAGATAATTTATTTTAAGTTAAGTTTTAATGTTTTAAGTAATTACCAAATATTTATACAAAAAATTAAAATTTATAGCTAGCTGGTTTGGGTCAGTGACTTTATGTTCTATTTTATTAGTATTGTGCATAATTAAGACTAATATTGATTAGCTATAATTAATACATTTATGAATTATATTTTAAGTCAATTATTGTAAACAAAATTAAATGTTCAAATAATCTTCATCTTTAAATAAATTATTAGTAACAGCTAGCATTTTTTATTATTTATTTTTAATTGAATAAACGTGCTCACCTTTTTACCTCTTCCAAAACTCTTAATCAGTCTTTATAAATAGAGACCAGATTTTCATGTTATTGAACATTTTATTCAGTTGTGTGTAAAAACTAATAAAACCCAATTTATCTATCCTTTTCACAATTTGTAGAATAACTCATTGACATTACCCTTCTTGTGCTAGATTAGATGATTTATAGATATAAATATACATGTGTATATAAACGTTTAATTTTTTATTTTACTATCTTGTCCATATTAAATGTATCTAGAAATATATGAGGAAGGTAAATTGTGACTAAGAACAGTTCAAATTTAACATTACAAAAGGAAGAAGTAAACAAAAATGGAAAATATTCTTTCCTAAATATTGGATAACAATAAATAACCATCTTCCTCGAATTAGCTGATTTGTTACAATGACATTTATTATTACTGATTTGACTTGAATTCTCGTTCTTCTGCTGTTCAGTATCTCTTCTGGCTTTGAAGTGAATTGTAATGATTTCATTATTATCAAAAATTTAGCATTATAATGAAAGTAGGAACTCTTGTCACATCAAACATTAAAATTGGTATACCAAATTACTACAAGTTGAAATCTGATGGAAACGCTATTGTTTATATGCCCCATTAAAAATCAATTAGGTGTGATATGAAATCACAGATAGCCACCCGTTGTGGAACTTGTAAGAAAAATAGTTTTTATTAAAGAATTTAATGTGTTTTTTTGTTTTTATTTAGAATGAGCAGAAGTCCTAAAAATATTTTTTTATTCATCTAAAACAATAGAATCAACACTAATAGAATGCTTGAAAATTTCAAATATTACAGTGTATTTCTAAAGTTTCCTAAAAATCCTTAGAAATTTATTTTTCATTGTTGCATTTTAATTTTAAATTTTTTCTCATTAAACTTTTCTTTGATTCTGAAGCTTAACACAAGGTTTGGCCATATTTCGATATATTGATATAATAAATTGAACAAAGTAGATGATTTTTGCACATATTTAGTTGTTAATCATACGATTTTAAATATATTGGTATGAGAAGGAATTAGTCGAGTGTGCGGTCAAAAAAAATAAAAAAAATTAAAATATATAAATAATTTTAATTAGAACTCTTGTCACATCAAACATTAAAATTGGTATACCAAATTACTACAAGTTGAAATCTGATGGAAACGCTATTGTTTATATGCCCCATTAAAAATCAATTAGGTTAAAAATTAAAATTATTTATATATTTTAATTTTTTTTATTTTTTTTGACCGCACCCTCGACTAATTCCTTCTCATATCATATCAACGGTCAACCATCTCTACATCATTTTAAATATATTGTGTTTTCACTGCACATTTTGAATTTTTTGCTGCACGTTTTTCTAATTTTTACCACACAAAGATCCGGTCTCTATTTATAAGGTTCATTATATATTTGTCAACATTGAAATATACATATATCTTATGCTTAGTTGTAAGTAAATGACAGGTAAAGCACTAATAAGGTTGTAAATAACCTATTAAGGGTTAATTGTAAATCAGTGTGGCGATTGTAAATAATCCTGTTTGGCAGTAATTGTAAATATTCCTTCCGTTTTGTCTGGGGTCTAGGTTATCTACACTCGTGAATTTAATTTTCTTAAAACGAAACCCCATCACTGGATATAGACTTTTTGAGGGTGTTTAACTGTCGTTCGGAATTCAGGAACCTAATACTTTTTGTGACATTGAGTGACAAGAAATAATAAGAATAGGTATATGAAATGCGGGACTGAGCAAATACACTTTGAGTGAATTGATTCACCTGTTTTGTCATTCTTCAATTGTGAGGCCTATAGGACAATTAAATAAAAGGATTATTCACTCCTGTGTAACAAAACAATTTATTTTGATAACTGTAATAAATGAATCTAAAGTCTTATAACTGTAGGTTTGATCTACTTAATCTTCAGTGTCATGCCTCTCTCTTCTGGTAACCTCCTTTCATCCTGTCTCGGCCTAGAGTGAGTTCTTCTTTCTTCTCCCGCTGCTGCTACCTGCTGGCACTTTTTCAGGCTTCTTCCTTTCTTTGTTCTACCAGCGTCCTCTTTCGTCGACTGTTTATCGATTTGATACTTTTCCATAAACAACTTGTCCACTGCATAATTGAGTACAATTCATAGTGCAACCATACATTCCTTCTCTTCTCATTCCCTCATTTAATGTCATATAAAAGAATAAATACTAGAGGTCATGTACTACAAGGTGTCAACATAGTAAAGATAGTCACCGGACCATCTTCATTCTACCTAGGACAAATCTTCATTACCCAACAATTAATAGAAAGAGACAGAGAAAGAAATTACAATATATATATATATATATATATATATATATATATATAAGACCATTATTCAATTTGAATGTTTCTATGCGGTATTTTGGTTAGAAAATAATTTTATACTATTTTTTAGGCTTCCACTTAGAGATAAGATATTAGGTCATTTCGTATGAAATATCAATTTTTATTATTTCAGAAATTCAAAGTTGGATTTGTGAACTTTTGTTCTTCACCACGTTTATGTTTACAGATTATATTGGACTGTTAATAATCCTCTCTTTTTTTGTAATATTCATTATCATTCCATTTGATTTCACATTGTTTAGTATGCCATCATATACGATCATGAAAACACAAGATTTTTGAGTAATTTTTTTTCATGAGTTTAAACTAGGACACTGAGAAGCCCAAGATGCAAGAATCATTACCACGGTGTTTGGGAAACGATGTAACAAATAGACCATTCGCTGGTGGTTTGAAAAAAAGTAATATAATGTGAATTAGGCACAAAGAAGATTGTTTCTCTGCTTATTAAATATCAAATCTATTCCTGAATAATTTAACTTAATTTTATTATTTAGTGTTTTGCCAAACAGGTTCAAAATTAATTATTGATTAAAGTTGGAAACGCCTTCCATTTCAGTGTCATTATTCATTCAAAAGTTACGTCACCCATTGATTCCTGAAATTTAAATTTGTTTTTATTCGATAAACAAAAAAATAGAATATTATTCCTAATAAAGCATCAACAGTTAATTAATCTTTAATTCCAATGAATGTTTTTTATTGGATGCAGGTCGAGTTACAAATTTATCGAAAATTAGAAGTAGCATTGAATCTAAACATTTTTTTTTTTCCCTCACAAACAGAGATATAACAAGCTCTGCCTAAGCTTGTATTGATTGACAAACAATTAATTCTTACAGAAAATAAATTAAGAACAAATAAAAATTGTTATAAAAATAATTATGGCTCTGGCAAATTTATTTCATATGACATTTCTGTCTCTCAGCTAATTATTATTTCTGTTAAATAAATTGAAGCTAAAATTTACCATGCCCGTCGAGCCTAGGTTTCTCATAGAAATATTAGAGAAGCACTTTTATCAAATTATTTGTTAATATATCTTTTTAACCGAAAGTATGAGCAGAAAATTAAAATTATTGAATGCAATTACCAATAACTTGATTTATCAATTGTAAATAACCTGTTCGGGGGTATTTGTAAATGAACTGTTTGGCGGGGGACTAGGTTATTTACACTCCTGAATTTAATTTTCTTAAAACAAAATCCCGGCACTGGATATAGACTTTTTGAGGGTGTTAAACTGTCGTTGACAATTCGGGAACCTAATGTTTTTGTGACAAGAAATAATAAGAATATATATATCTGAAATGTGGGACTTAGTAAATATACTTGGAATGAATTGAATCACCTGGTTTGTTATTCTTTGATTGTGAGACATATAGGACAACTAAAAAAAGGCCTTTTCGCTCCTGTCTAACAAAATAATTAATTTTGACAACTGTAATAAATGAATCTATTAAAGTGTTATAACTGTAGGCTTTATATTCTTAATCTTCAGTGTAGTAGACTTCTCTTCTTAGATAACATCCTTCCTTCTTCCTCTCCTGGAAAAAAAGTGTTTTCTTTTTTCTCTGAGCGTCCTTCTTCAGTTGCTGCCACCTACTGTTCCTTTTCCAGGCTTCTTCCTTTCTCTGTTCTGTACCTTTTTCGTCAATTCTTTATCGATTAGATACTCTTCAATTAACAACTTGTCCACAGCATAATTGAGTACAATTCATAGTGCAATCCTACATTCCTATACATTCCTTTACTTAATGTCATATAAAGGAGTAAATACTAGAGGCCATCTACTACACAATGATGAATGAATGAATAATGAAAAGCACACCAGTCATGGACAGGTAGGACTTTAAATGTAAATAATAAGCTTCCATGTTGATTGAAAGGTTTCAGTTTTTTCTAGGTTGAAGAACAGTGCCCTCTAACTGTGGAAACTGTGTGAACAAAGTTTCCAAAAGAAAATTTTAGAATGCCTATTTCTATAATGTTCTTGAGATCAGTGTGTTTCATATCTTCCTACTAACAGTTTTATTAAGAGTAAGATGAACATTTATGTTATCTTTATAGTTAAATAAAGATTTTAGAATTTTTCAGAGGTATGTCCATTACTGGTACTGACTCCCTGTCCACTACTAGAACAATTGAATTTTAGGGTGTCCATCACTAGTGCAAAAAGGTTTTTTTTTTAAATGGTGATTATCCTTGCATTACTGAATATTTTTTTAAACTGCTAAATAGAAAAAGGAAACCCTAGAGATTCTAAATGTCCAACGGAGAAGTTTATAGCTATATTAATTACAGCAACATAAGCCAAAAAAGAAAAAAAATTTCCTAGCTATGTCCATCACTGTTGCGCTTACCTTAACTGCTTTAATTTTTTCTTGAACTTCAATTTCAGAAACTGAAATGATGGAGATAATTTTGTGAAGCCAGTTTTTTTTTTTTTGTTTTTTTTTATATATTATTGATGATATATATCTGCCTTATAATATATATATATATATCTGATGATATATATCTGCAGTAAAACATTTATTCTCTATCCACTTAACCCTTCAATTTTATTGTACAAAATACACTATTAAATTTTACATATATTTATTATTGATTCTAAATTACATAATTTTACTATATGTACTATATTATTGCCATTTCTTTTTAATAAATAATACTTTAATTAGTTAAATAAAAAACGTAAATAATTGATTTTACATACCAATATAATCATTGTATGATTTAAAGCTATGCTAGAACAAAGTCTGAACACATGAGAATTCAAGGCTTAAATAAAACACTGTCCATTCAATACTGACATCATGACTTATTTTTTGGTAATTATTTATATTATCAATTTTTTTTTATTTTCATTAAAAGCCGTTTATGTTTTCTGTTTTTGGCTATTCACAAAATAACTGTAGCAATAAAATAACCTAAAGAAACGGTTAACCAATAAACAGTTAGGATAAAAACACCATTAGCTGACCTACCAATACCTGACATCCTCCTTGAAAAATGCGAATAATAAGATTTCAGGATCTTGTAGACTTCTATTTGATACATTTTTGGTTTTTATATTCTATCCTTAAATATTTATCTTGCCGGAAACCGTAACTGAAATAATGGTTGGCAAATTGGGAAGGTTCACGGGTCCACTTAGTGTCCCAGGTACAATCATATCTTTTTTCAGTAAGGGCACCATGTCTTAGTTTTGCCTTTTTCTCTTCAACTATGATTTATCAAAAATTTTTGATTCATTTTATCTAAGAATGTTTTTATATTACATTTTATCCGTTTTTAACTTATCACTGAAGGAATTGGAAATTTAATAGGTGTCAGCTATTTCAGCCTTATAATGGATTCTTTTCCCAGTAGCTGATTGGCCTGTACTCTTATAAATTTAAAGAGATATACTTAATATAATGGGTCCATACTTAAAAAGGGGACCATTCACTACTCTTTCATTACAAAAGCATTTTTGGTGATTTGGATTAAATATGAAACAAAAATAGATCTTCCTATAGCCAAAAACATGCTCTTGATAGTGACCAGCATTTATTGATAAATTTAAGACTGGAAACGATACAAAGTTAGTTTTAATAAGTTAAAGGTAATTTTTGTTAATATCTATTTTAAAATGAATAACATAAAATTTCAACACTATATTTTGCACAATTAGATCATTTTCCTCACCTATGTTAGCTATAGTTTTAACAAAACTATTCTCTAAATTTACAATTCTTTAAATTTTGATGGATTTGAAATTTGTTCTGGTAAGGTGTGAAATAATTCTGTAATATGAATCCAAGAAAAATACAATAACATCAATATTGAAGTTTTTACACGTAAAACTATTCTCTAAATTTACAATTCTTTAAATTTTGATGGATTTGAAATTTGTTTTGGTAAGGTGTGAAGTAATTCTGTAATATGAATCCAAGAAAAATACAATAACATCAATATTGAAGTTTTTACACGTAAATATTCATAGAAATTTTCTTCAGCGTGTAAGCTACTTTAGTATTTACTCTATGCTTATGCAAATTCCTCAGTGGTTGTTGCTTAAAATCTTTTGTTGACACCCTTACCTTGTTCTTGATTGTATTGAGGTAAAATATTTAATCTATAATTTTTTTTTTCTTAATGATATTTATGACTGTACTAATTTAGTAAATTTGAACATATGGATATAATGACGTGAAAACACTTGTTGAGAAACTACCCAATGGTAGCACTCTAATGATATGTCTACATAAGTAGATCACGAGGCCATCTTCTTTTCAGACGCCTCAGAGGGTTATCAGGGATCGAGGAGGAAGCAAGGTTTGAAACGAGAGGGTTCAGATGATTCTGAAGTTTATTATGGAAGGATAGGTATCTGGATTGGGCCAGATCTGAAATATCAAGGTCATTATGGATGGTTTTATTTGTAACAAAGTAGGGAGCATTAAGGATTTTATGAAGGATTTTGGATTGTAAGGATTGAATACGAGAGGAATTCGATGGTTTAGTGGAGTCCCATAGCTCAACTCCGTAAGTCCAAATAGGCCGTATTATAATCATGTATATGAGTCTTTTGTAATTAATTGGCAGTTTAGAGCGTTTGTCTAGTAAGTGCTGAAGTAATCGGAAATGTCGAGGTGTTTCTTGTTGTTTCAGTCAGGTATAAGGATTCCAAGTTAGACGTTTGTCCAGGTGGAGTCCTAGGTAGTGGTTTGCTCAACAGGGATAAGTGGGGTATTGTTAAAGAAAACTGTAGGAGAGGAAATCATAGGTTTACGACGAAGGGATTTGAATTTGGATTGGAATTTATTTTAATTCTTCAGTTTTGTCACCATTCTTCAGGATTTATGATGTGTGATTGAAGCATTTGGGATGCGAATGATGATTCATTGTTTACTGATAGGATACATGTGTCATCGGCATATGTGGTGATGACAGTGTTGGGATAGGTTGGGTTGTCAGCTGTATAAACTGTATAAAGTATAGGACCTAGGATACTACCTTGAGGAATACCAGCAGTCTGGGAAAATAGGGATGAATAGGCGTAACCTATAATATAAATCAAGAATATTTCTTTTGATATCATTTAAAACTTATTTTTTAATTTTTGAGCCTCCTATTGTTAACTTGTAATGTAAATGATTCATTTTTACACTTTATAAAAAATATTTACGAAATATCTGATAGTTACAAAGTTTATAACTAGGTTTCTTATTTAGAAAATATTAATATTGTAGCATAAAACTTGATTAAGCATTAAAATCTAAGATCTTTTCCTAAATCTATACACATCTTCAATTTCCCTCAGCGGGCAATGGCTAGGAGCATGTTGATGTAGGAATATGAAACCTTTACCATCTGAAATAAAAATTATATTAATTTTAATTTATTGATAATTTAAATTTTAAAGATGCACATTTATATCTAACATGACATGACATGCAGTCAATGTTAATGTTCAATTCTGAAGGATTTGAAATATCATATAATAAGTTCGTGGTACAGACCCCTTTTTTAATCGAATTATTAACATCCGCTGAAACTTGGTGAATAGTTTCATCTCATCGTAACTTACAACTATTTTATTTATGAAAACTCTTGGAATTGTGTCGTTTTCAATCTGGAGGGGGGCAAACTTTGTCTATTTAATTAGGTTCTAAAAACTCGTAAATACCCATTTCGTTTCTACTTGGATCGTAAGATAATTTGATCACAAAATCAATTAAAAAGGTGGCCTACAAAAGTATTGGTCCATTTGTCCTGTATAAACTCGTTATTTTGAAAATTTGGGGGTGTAGGTCACGCCAAACGCTTCAATATTTTTGATGGCCACCTTTTTTATTGATATTTTGATCAGATTATATTGCGATTCAAGTAGAAAGCAAATGGCTATTTACGAGTTTTACATATTTAAATAGACAAAGTTTGCCCCCCTCTAGATTGAAAACGCCCCCAATTCCAAGAGTTTCCGGAAATAAAATAGTTGTAGATTAAGATGAGATGAAGCTATTTACGAAGTTTCAGGCCGATGTTAATAATTCGATAAAAAGGGGTCTGTATCACGGACTAATTATTTTCAAAAAGTTTAATATAATAATCAGTCCTATACGGTAGTTTATTTTTGTATTTAAATTTTTCTTTTTGATAAATGTTTAACCACTACAAAAAATTATTCAATATTTTTGACAAAAAGATCTTCAAAAATTATCGTAAGGTAAATGTTCTAGTAATTGGCAGTGTACTATTAATAGACTGTTTCCAAATCATTAATAAACAATAAGTCGTATACATCCTACAGAGAGTGATATCATACCACAATAGTCGATAGGCAGTTGATTTTTTAATAGAGCAAGATTGTGGCTTTGTTTCGGGTAAGTTTCTTCATAACTTTTCTTTTCAAATTTGTATTAATCCATCTACAATTTTCCATTCCTTGGTTACTACTGTGCAATTTTTGTTTTGTTATTAAAATTAATTATTTTTTAAAAAATCAGTTGGTTTGTAGTTTTAGAACATTTTCTTCAAATTTCCACTAAATAGCCCGAGAAAATCCAGCATATATATTTATTGTTTTTTATAAATGCTTACATTTTCGCACTCAATGACCATGAAATTTTGGCATTCTGTTTTTGTATTTTTGCTTTTCAACTCAGGATAACCAAACTTTATATTTTTATAAATTTTAATGTGTAGTTTTCAGAAACATTCCGTATTTTGGTAATGGGTTAATAATTTAAAAAAAGAGATCCGTGTTTACTCTTGCTCCGTTATTTTTGCACATGAGGCAAGTGCAGCCACGAAGCTCCATAATAAATCTTTCTCAGTTTAGCTAAATATAATCAAGAAATCACACTAAAACCTTATTTTTAAATTTTACCCATTTTTCCAATCGTCCTCTCTTTGACTCCAGAAAAATTCCGTTTCTCCCAAACGGTTTAAAATAAAAAATGAAAAAATAATAATGCAGAATCAGTGAAAAATAAGTCATAATATACTCGCCCCACTGTCATTTATATTTCTTCTGATGGAGTATCCTAGAGTGAGGTGGGCCCGAAAATTTTTAACTTTTGTTTTTAATTTACAGAAAATGATAAAAATATTCTAATTGCTGGAAATTGTAGACAGATGACCCTAAATACTACTTGTTAAGTTGTATTTCCATATTCCTAATAGTTATCTCACAGCCACAGTTTAAATATGAAAAAAAAATAAATAAACCTGGTTTCACTTACCCCACTTCAACCTAATTAACTTATTGACTCTATATGGGAAAAAAATTGATAAAAGACTAAGTTTTCTGACAATTAAATCTATTTGCAAAGATCCACAATCAGAAATAAATCTGTGGTTCACGTTAATATTGAAAATTTCTCTTGAGTGTCTATTACTGCAAAATTTACTTTATGCGAATATAATTCCCTATCCCGAACTAATTTTACTAATCGATTAACTGGTCTTTATTAAATTTATTTCGCTCTATCCACTATTTATTAATCTTCGCTGGCTTTAGTACCACTGACGCGGTCGAGAGAGTAGCGCAGGGATCTCCTGGAGTCCTGCTTTTCCCTCCATAGTTGGAAAGACAAGCCTGCCTTGGAATTCCGTAGCCTAATTGCAAATATTTTATATAGATATGTATGTGTTTTTACTTTCACTTACCTATATATGTAGTAAGAGAAACTATTGCGATCGTGAAAATTTTCTAATCTGAATTTTCAACGGAAAAATACCTTTTGAGGTACCCTGAGTCCAAATAATTTTAGAAAAAGCAATACCTAATATAGAAAGTTGTAGAAGTTAAGGGAGAGTAGCGAAAAAATTATAAATAATAATTTTTGAAAACTATTATTATTTAACGTTAGTCACATGTTTTCAAGGAAATCAAAAGAAATTTACAAACTAAATATACACTTTTAAAATATTTTTAATTTTGAAAAAAGTATTTAAAATCCATCTAATCAAGGCAATAACATTTTTTTTAAATCTATTTCATTGTACTTGTTTGAAGGAAGAAGTGAAATATAAAAATATTTCATGGATATATTTATAACCTTAAATATATTTACTGTCGTTTAATAGCTCTAGATCTGATATTATATTTAAATTGTTAGGTATCTATCGTCCGTTTATTCCGAAAAAGCATCATTAAAGTTTTAGAAAATTAAATCAGTAAATAATTTGATGAATTTTCCCTTAGTGATATTCCTACAGCATTCACTGCCAATTAGTGTGACAACTTTTGACCTGTCTATGACAGATCATGAAATTCCTTAATTCCATTTTAGCAAACTTTGCAATGGAAAATAACAGTTTAATAACTAATAATCGTACAATCCATAATCCGCCGGTGATATAATAAATAGGACTTTTGTTATTTTAATCGTGTTAATGATTTTTTTAGCTGTAAACTTTTAGCTTTAGCTTAATTAAAAATGCAATTCAAAAATATTTTTAAGTTATTTTATTTTATTTATTGTATGTACTTTTTGATTATTATTTATTTGATATGTTGCTTCTGTTTATTTCTTTTTTTGTTTTGTTCTTATATTATGAATGTTATCTTTCCTACCGATAACCAATGTCCAAGTGATAGAATATTGTATTGTTCAATAAATAAATTATAATTAAATTGGTTGTTGTTGATTTTATAAATTTATAATATTTATTTATTTGTTTGTTGTATATTTATTACTCATATCAATAAAATATATATACATATTTACTCACAGACATAAATCCCGCCAAGTCCACTGTCTGCCCCGAAAGAAGTTTTGTTTCTAGAGGTTTGTTTGACACTGTTCTTATCACTAACAGTATAGTTTGACATTCCATAGGCAACTCATACCAATTTATATCAAACGTTCTTTCTCGAATAGTCATGCTCTAAATAAATTAAATCGTTATAATAAATATATATATATACATATGTTCAATTATTTGAAATATTTATATTATTGGATACAACTCTAGTAGAGTATCCAAATACCTCATACAAACGTTCCTTTGAAATAAATATATACATAAAAATGAATAAATAAAGTTCATACTACTTTTAATAATACTATATACAAAAAAACTATAAAAAACTTACTTTTTCAATTATCATCTCTGCGATTAAACTGATAATGTACAGGAAAAACAGCTGAGCCAATGATATTAAGGTAAACTTAATTTTAACTGCATAGTTATCCTGCATGAAGTTAAAATATTAACAAACTTAATGTATTTATAAAATATTAACATAAATTAATTGTGCGAATACGTCCAGTAATCAGAGTTGGGTGAATATTATACGATTACTGATGACTAAATTTTTAGTCTCAAACATTCATGACTAATGAAATATTTTATAATAATATTTTTTCTGTCACTTTAAACGACTGAAAATTTAGCCATTATTCATAAATAATATTTTAGTTGTAGTCGTCATTAACGACTAAAAAGGTGAAATAAAAGTTGCATATTGATACGTTAATGTATCTTATAGATTTTATTAGTAATTTATTTATTTTTCTGTTTATCTGGGACTATAGTTGCTTGTATGTATATGTATTGTATTTGTATTTCTTATATGTATTATGCTTGTATCATTATTAACCAATAATTATTACAATCAGAAAAATCTTTCTTAACAACCTTTTATCTCAAAATAATTATATTTTACTGGTAAATCAAAGCGTTTATTATGATCGATAAATTATTTAGTAGAATTTAAACAAGAATAAATAATTTTGTTTTAGATCATTTTTTTGTATCTTAAATAATGTATTAATATTTTCAGGCTTAAATTTCATCTTGTCAATTTTTTTTTTATATTCAATACTATAGTATTGTCATTATTGTAATTTCACAAGTCTGTAAAAGTATTGTAATTTTAAGTATATTCCTACTCTCATGTTGTAAATATTTTATAATATATGTATTTTAGATAAATAATATAAAATCGATTACTTACGGAAATAACAAAAAATCCAGCAAAACTAAAGATTACAACACCAGTACAAAAAGCTGCAAAGTAGCAAATTTTTAGTAATTTAGTTGTCCTCCTGAAATATCTACAAAAATAATCAATACATATTATTAATCGATACTTATTAAATTATTAACGATAATTTAAAGATCACGTGCATAAAGGTGGTTAAATATTTCCAGTTCTGAGAAGAATGAATTTATAGTTTGACACTGGGATATTTTTTTTCAAGAAAGATGATATCTAATTTTTAATTGTAGTAAATAGTCAAGACGCAGTCTGTTTAAGATTTTATTGTTGTTGCCGACGTTTCAACCCAAACATATGGGTCATCATCAGGGCGTGTTTCCAGTACTAAAGGTATTATCGTACTCAATGAACTGTTCAGTACCTTACCACCTTCAGTACTGTAAACATGCCCTGATGTTTACCCACGTGCTAGGGTTGAAACGTCGGCAATATCAATAAAAAATATTAAGGTAATTTTGACATCAACGATGTTCAACGGTCTGGTCGCCCAAATGAAATTGAAACGAGCAATGTTAAGGCCATGTTAAGGTTGATCAAAATCCCACCAAATCAGTGCGATATTGATATGGCCCTAAATATGTCACACACAAGCGTAAAAAACCATTTGCACAAGCTCGGCTATGTTTCCAGGCGTAATGTTTGCCCCCCCCCCCACATGATTTTTAATCGAAAAACACAAAAAATGTTATAATTTCAATACGACTTTAGCAATCTACAAGAAATTGAGCAGGAATTTAGGGCCAAATAAACTACACAAAATGACATCAACAGGACCTTCGTAAACAAACTACAAATGGAGATAAAAATAAAAACCTATAAGGAGTTTTGGTTTATTTATTCCTTATGTAGGCATTAAATAAAAAATAAACCATTCATACGGCTTTGAAGAGCAATAATTATTCAGCTTTCCAACGGATGTAGTAACATCGAATTTGGAGAACATCCTGAATAGTTATGAATGATCGGAAGGGTGTTGTATTCTACTAAGACAACGCTAGGCTCCACACCTCATTGGTCACTCGTAATAAATTATTGAGCCTTGGATTGGACCTTTTGCCCCACCCTCCCTATTCACTAAACCTATCTCCAAGTGTCTACCACTTATTCTGGCCTCTGCAAAACTCCATAAATGGAAAGAAATTTCAAAAGGAAGCGGACATCAAAAATCACTTGGATCAGTTTTCTAACAATAACTCCACACATTCCATGAATATAGCATTATGCAGTTTGTGGAAATATGGGAAAAAGTCATATTACATAATAGTCTATATATTGTGGATTAAAATAAATTTTATTTATATAATATATTAAGTTTTATTTCACCCTGAAAAACGGAAAGGACTTATTTGCCAACCCAATAGCTCTTTATAAAGAGGATGAGATGCTGAACATTTAACAACCACGCTTACAGTATGCAGGTCCGATTTTTAGTTTCTAAAATATTTTAATCCATATCTTCAATAAAACTCGTTATCAATTTGTTTTCAACACTATGTTTTCCCTTTTCCCCTCTATAATACGGCGTCGCGTTAAGATATAATTTTGAATAATAGCTCATTACAAAGAGAATGAAATAATGAAAATTCTTCTCGCTAACAATACATCGTATGTAGGTTCGATTTTTAGTTTCTGAGATATTTTAATCCATATGGAAAAACAATTCAATTAGGCGACTTTACCCTAGCGTTACACATCGGATATCTGACGGCTCAATCTAATTCATTCTCAGAAAAAAAAAGTGCAAAACGTGCCTAAAGAAGTTTTGAATTCAAAAATTAAATGTTCAACTTCATAGACATTGCCATTTTTGAGACACTAAAAGTCAGTGAATGAATTGTATATATTTTTACTTTCCTACCCATACTAGGTAAGGCAAGTATTCCAATCGGGTCAAATTTCCGATTTGCGATTTTCGACAGATCTATACGTTTCAGAGCCCCCTGAGTCCGAAAAACACATTTTTAGCCATTGATCTGTCTGTCTGTGCCATGATTTTCTCGGGAACTACTCAACCGATTTTGTTGCTTATTTTTTTATTTTATAGGGTTTTGACTACTGATGCCTGTGACAGAAAATAGCTTGCGCGCAATAAATCAAAAACTTGTTTTTCTATAGACTATAGCACGAAAACGGCTCTAACGATTTTGATGAAACTTTCCCATAATGTTCTAATCATTGTCCTTTCAATTTTCGTATATAGACTAAATTCTCGAAAAAAGTCAAGAAAAAAAGTTATAAAGAAAAGAAAAGTGTTATGGAGCCTAACTCCCATAATAAGTATATATTATACGGTAAAATTTATAATAAAACTTTTGAAAGGTAATTAAATTACCAACAGAACAAAAAAAATCATCGGAATCGAACCAGTATTAGCGATGATAAAGCTTATTCTATTTTTTACACATTTTTTAACTTACTCATTTCCTACCAATACTAGGTAAGGAAAGTCAATAGCAATCGGGTGATATTTGCGATCTAAACGTTTCAGAGCCCCTGAGTTCGAAAAACACATTTTTAGCCATTGGTCTGTCCGTCTGTCTGTGCCATGATTTTCTCGAGAACTATTGAACCGATTTTGTTGCCTATTTTTTAATTTTGTAGGGTTTTGACTACTGATACCTGTGAAAGGAAGAAAATCTTTTCTTTGATCAATTTTCTGGAAAATAAATCTAATTTAATTATTTTCTGTTTCTTCATGAACATATGTAAAGATATAAAAACTTTTCTGAAATAGTTAGGATAGTCGTGTGAGTGGACACACCAGATATTTCTATATATAAAGAGGAACTGCTTAAGTAATATTTTCATAATAGCTACACCTAATTATTTCCGCATGATGGTCCACACACATCCCCAGGCATCTGGTATAACAGCGCTTCATAACTTCCTTTCTCGAAGTTTCAAAGCCTTCATGATGGGAAGCCATCTCTCGAGCTCTCGCTCCCAGCTTGCCAATGGCGTACTCAAGAAGACTGAATTCCGTCGAAATGTGGCTGTAAAAGAGACAGATCATCCCCATCGCTCCAAACATACAAAACGCAGCCATTAAGACGAGTATGATTTCCCATATTGCGAGTGTTATGTGTATCGATATCTCGTTCGTATCGAACGGGATCCAACATGGAAACAAAAGGAATAAATCTTTGTTGATCCTAGTCTCGACGAAAGCTAATACAACAACATCCAACATCATATAACATATTCCCAAAACCAAAGCTAAGTATAACATCCGAATAGCCTTCTCTCTTTCAGCTTCCATTTCATTCCTTTTACTATCGATGATGGAGCTTTCGTAGTCGTGACTCCAAAATGTACCTGAAATACAAAAATTCTATTTAAGTAAATTGAAGGAAGCTGGTCTACTGTTCTACATATCATCTGTGATAAATATTCAGGACGCAGTCATAATAATTTTTTTTTATTTGTGCTGACGTTTCAACCCAAACACATAGGTCATCATCAGGACTGAAAATTTGAAAATACAATCAGAGATATAAGAGGCATCGTAATTTCCAGTTTTCAGCTACAAATAAACCTCTTTATTATTATTCAAACGTTGCTTTATTCCTATTGCAGTTCAGGTTTATGCGATATCCGGTACCCAATTAAAATAAGGATAACTGAAATCGTGATTTTTTCAGGATAAATTCTATATTTAGCCTATTCTTTAAACATTTACTTAAATATCATACGTGATAAATATTCAGGGCGCAGTCGTTATATTTTTTTTTATTTTAGCCAACGTTTCAACCCAAACATGTGGGTCATCATCAGGGCTGAAAATTTGAAAATACAATCAGAAATGTAATACTATACGACCGATAATGGTAAATAATAAACTATAGTGATCGATGGTACATGAATCTTAACAATTATTACAATACACAATAATAAAAATAAAAAATGTAAAAAGTTATACAAACTAAAAATAATGTATATAATCCATTTATAAAAATTTGTAATATTTTCTCTTACTAACCGTGGTTTGAGCACTGAAGGTTTTCAAGTACTGACACATTTTTGGTAGGTAAGTGAAAGGGTCGGGGGTGGATTTCCCAGTTGTCCTTTTTCAGATAGCAAAAGGTAGGTAACAGTTTGTATAACTTTTTACATATTTCATTTTTATTGTTGTGTATTGTAGTAATAGTTCAGATTCATGTACCATAAAGCACTACAGTTTATTATTTACCATTATCGGTCGTGTAATCGTATATCTCTGACTGTATTTTAAAATTGTCAGCCCTGAAATTATATAATGACTGCGCCCTGAATATTTATCACACATGATATTTAGGTAAATGTTTAAAGAATAGGCTAAATATGGGATTTATCCTTGTAAATATGATTTCAGTTAGCCTTACTTTAATTGGGTACCTGATATCGCATAAACCTGAGTTGCAGTAGGAATAAAGCAATAAGAAAGTATATAAGATTCATATTGTACGCTTGAACAATAATAAAAAGGCTAATTTGTAGCTGAAAACTGGAAATTACGGTGTCTCTGGGGGAGGTGTTTAGTGTGGCCCGAGTCCAACATAACGTGACGTGTACAGCTCACACCTTTCTCGTTCAAACAAGTACCGAAGTTGTGACGATTGCAAACTTTTCGAATTTGAACTTTTGATTAAAAATTTGGATTACAATTAATTATGGATTGGGATTAAATAGAAATTAAAATGAATTATAATGGTTAAGGTTATGTCGACAATAGTTGGTTATGTACCGAGGAGTGTTTAAGGGTGTCCAAGGATAATAAGAGGATCTTATAGTCTGTGGTACAGACCCCTTTTTATCAAATTATTAACATCTGCCTGAAACTTCGTAAATTTTTTCATCTCATCGTAACCTTATTTTATTTATGAAAATACTTGAAATTTAATTAGGTACTAAAACGTGTAGATACCTATTTGCTTTTCACTTGGATCGTAAGATAATTTGATCACAAAACTGATAAAAAAAGGTGGCCTACAAAAATCTTGGATCGTTTGGCCTTTATAACCTCGTTATTTTTTAGAAAATTTTGGGGTGTAGGTCATACCAAACCACCCAATATTTTTAAGGCCATCTTTTTCCTCGACTTTGTTATCAATTTATCTTACGATTCATGTGCAAATAAAATGGGTATTTATGAGCTTTTAGTAACTAATTAAATAGACAAAGTTTGTCTATCTACAATAAGATTAAGCTATTTACGAACTTTCAGATGGATGTTAATAATTAAAAAAAAGGGTTCTGTAGCTATGCTCTCACCTTCCTGTGAATCTCAGGGTAGGGACGTTACCGTCCCCATACGGGAATCGAACTCGCGCCGTTGTGGTCTAAGCAATCGATTAGGGACTGTACTTATTTATTTATTATTAATTATTTGTATTTTAATCTTTTTTTGTTGTTGTTTAATACCGCGAACGGGATTTAAACTCGTAGCATAAAATATTTGCAGGCGCCTTAACTCACTCGACCACCACGGCCTTATAATAGATATAAATAATGGAATATATCATGAATTTATATAATATACTGACAGGTAAAAAATTCCACCCACTTGATTTTTTCATCTAAAAATAGTTCTGCTTTGGATTGGTCTATAGTTTTTAATGAATAAATAGGTAAACTTTTTGTTTGTTTTCTATTAGGAATGTTAATATAGAGGACAATAACCCTTAATCCTTAATTCAATGAAATGATTCTAGATTCCAATGTTTACTTTCTATGGAATCAAAATGTTTATTCAGTATCATTAGTTCAGTTCCGTTTCTTGCACCACATTTCTTAGTCTCCGGCTTTTAATTTTATCAAGTTTAAAAATGCCTCTTAGTGCTGAGGATGTTGCACGTGGCGTGGCACTTATTGATGATGGACGTTCCATAAGATATGCAGCTAATGCCATCGGAGTTCCATATGAAACTTTACGAGACGCCGTCAGGCGTTTTCGGGAAACTGGTTCTTACAATCGAAGGCCCGGTTCTGGACGGCCTAGGGTAACAGAACCACGGGATGACCGGTTTTTGACTTCGAGAATTTTACGAAACCGGCACCTTACCGTTGTTCAAGCGATTCATCAGCTCGAAGAAGTTCGAGGTGTGTAAATTTCTGAACGTACTGCTCGGAGAAGATTAAATGAATATGGATTAATGGCGTTTCGTCCAGTAAGAGGACCAGAGTTGACCAGAACTAACAGAGTTACACGGCTGGCTTTTGCTCGAGAACACAGCCATTTTACTATGGACGAATGGAGTGCTGTACTTTTTACAGATGAGTCAAGATTCGCTCTTCGATCTCCAGACGGGCGTAAAAGGGTGTGGAGAAGAAGAAACGAAAGATATGCAGCATGTAATTTTTCCCAGAGCCAACCTTTCCAACGTGGTTCCTCAATGGTGTGGACAAACGGGTGGAATTTTTTGCCTGTCAGTGTATATATAATTTATATAATCTTACCTTTTATCATAGAGTAAACGCTACTCTTCATGAAATATCCAACTGAGGAGCTCAAACAGACGTCGCTAAACAGAATCAGATAGTAAGCTACAGCACCTGCCTTCTCGATCCTGCCCCAGTAATAATGCAAGGAGTACATGAGCAGGCATGTTCCTAAGAAACCGTTCGTGAACAAGAATATCTCCTGAACCAGTGGGAATCTCGGGCTCAGGTAAAAGCCAGAAAACGTTACAAGAAGTACCACTTTCTCAGTGGCAACTTTGATATTTTCAAGCATTACTTTCGCCATGTTTACTAGAATCAAAAATGCAGTTGTTAACCATCAAAAAACTCTTAACCGAACAGTTTACAAAATATGTTATATAATATAATGAATCGGAATTCACACGTGACTGCTGAAGTATCCATTCCCCTAGTTCGATGGGGCATGAAACTCACCCCTCCCAAGATATTTTATTGCTCTCTATATCTTAAAAATAGTGTAAGCAGTAGGTGCAGAATTCGGGAGGGCGATGAAAAAAACAAAGATGGGGATGAGAATATCGTGCCCTTCCCCTCCTCGTTTTAAAGAACAAAAATTTTAAATACAAATTAATTGACCCGGACTACTGGGTTTCTTAATTCCTTACTGGGCATGGGGGTTTCCGCTTTAAGTTACATAGTTTTGGAAAATACATAGATCCCCTATGCTCCACTTGCGGAGTACCGCAGACTGCTCAGCATGTTATTGTCAACTGAACCGCCTTTGATGGACTAAGAGCCGAAATGATAAGAAAAATTGGAGACCATGGCCTCACGGAGGATGAATTTACCGAGTTAGTGACGGAGCAGAACTACCCGTATTACAAAGATTTCGTGTACGGGTGGAAAGGTGCTCTGGGGCCCTCCCACTTTAATCTGGGAAGAAGAGGACCTGCTAATGGAAAGCCGCTAGGCTAATATGGTGAAAATAATGAAAAAAGAAAATATTTGAAAAAACAAAACAAAATTGACAATTAATTTGTGGTTTAATAGCAGTGTGATATGCCATCCCTGCAAAATCCTGTGTAGCCAAAAGGCAAGGAAGGGAGGCATAAATAAATAAATAAAATTAATTGACATGAATGAATAAAATATTTAAACCAAAATAATTAAAGAAATAGGTGAAGTCGATTAGATGCTTTACCTAAAGCCTAAAAGTAGATATGCAGTTATTTTACAGCGTTCCTCTTATTGAAATTTTAGTTTATATTCAAAGATAATTATATGTAGCTACATATCCTAGGTTTTGATAATTCATTTCCGTGAACCTTTCCATTTGAAATTTTTTTCTTTATTTTATTGTTTTACCTTGTACCTATTAATATATATTAGTCCGTGGTACAGGTCCCCTTTTATCCAATTATTAAAATCCGCCTGAAAGTTCGTAAATAACTTCATCACACCCATAACCTACAAATATTTTATTTACGAAAATTCTCGTCATTGGAGAGTTTTCTACCTGGAAGTCGGCAAACATTGTCCATTTATTTAGGTACTAAAAACAAGTAAATACCCATTTGCTTTCCACTTGGTTCGTAAGATAATATGATGATAAAATCGATAAAAAAAAAGGCAGCCTTCAAAAATATTGGACCGTTTGGCCAAATAAATAGGTTTTATTCATTTCATATAACGTAAATAATTCACAACAACGAAAATTTTTAAGTGTGAATATCTCTAAAACAAAGCGTTTGCGGACATATCTTCAGAGGGAATTTTTTTTCTTGTTTTGAAGTCTTTTGTTCATTTTTGCAGTATGGCCACCTAACCCTGAAACACCCTGTATAGGCCAAATAGTAATGAAGGCCACCTTTTTTCTCGACTTTTTGCTCAAATTATCATCTGATTCAAATAGAAAGCAAATGGGTATTTACAAGTTTTATGTGCCTAATTAAATAGACAAAGTTTGATGACCAGATTGAAAACGCCCAAATTCCGAGAACTTTCGTAAATAAAATATTTTTAGGTTACGATGAGATAAGGCTATTTATTAAATTTTTGGGGGATGTTAATAATTTGATAAAATTTGATCAGTACCACGGACTAATAATAAATATATATATATCGATATATCCTAGAATTTTATGATTTAATTACCCCTTAATTTTCACGTGATATTCTTATTACGTTTTTCTCGGAAAACTAGTTGGACTGTGAAAAACGTATTTTTATTTGAGTTTGTATACACATTAAGAAATCAAAGATTTGTTTTCACTTTTTTACATTATTTATTTTTAGCTAAAAAAGTTCTAGAAATGTACAAATGTTATGAAGGCTGTCTCATCTTTCCCCATTCTTAAATCTAAACAAATTCGTTATATATTCAAGTGTATTCTTTGAATTTTAGAATACATTTTAGAATAAAAGTGTCTCAAACCTATTGTTTAGTCAACTTAAAACATTCAGGTCCACCTCAATGACGACAAAAGTTGTTTCGTAATTAAGTTTTAGCCATAATTTTAGTTTTTAAATTTAATTAATAAAAAGAGTAGAACCCTATCATTTAATCACTGTAATCAGATCATATAATGAATATTAACAGAAAGAATAATGAATTCAAAATGCAACTGAAAAGAATTTTCAAAACATCTGAATATAAATAAGAAGCTACCAGAAAAAAACAATATATATATATATATATATATATATATATAATATAATACAAGTATATATAACAAGTAAAACAAATAAATAAAAATTCTTAGAACTATACAAACAATATAATCAAATATTCCAACATTATATTTGTTCGTTTCACAATAATTATGTTGAATTTTAACACAAAATAAAAACTTAATAAATACTTTTTTTTTTAATTTTGTCCATCAGCACCAATCAAAATCGAAAGTTTACACCTATGGTGTACCCCAACCAACACCTTCTCAAATTATAATTATGTTCAACCATCTCCACACAATTATATTTTGTACCTTATTTATGGTAATAAATTTAATTCATACACTTAACTATAGTTAATTTAAAGAGAACAGATATAACATTAATTAAAGTTTTTCAGGAGTGAGATTTAATATTCATTAATTTTAACAACATCTCAATAATAAACAGACATTTATTATATTATAAACACATCTTTCCATCCTTATATCATACTAAAATATCATGAAAAAAATTGAAGAAATAAAGTAATACCTTGTCAAGTGACGAATAATCAAGATAGAAGAAATTGATTAAAAGGTTTCGGTCGAGACTCCTTAACGATTGAGACCTTTCTTACAAATCGTCAACAGAGTAACTCTGTAATTAAGACGAACTTATTTCAAAGTCAGTTAAAACGTAATTTACAATCGATAATAATTGTTCATTTGGCTAGTTCGATCACCTGTTGAATAATGGAACCGTCACGCTTTTGTTTTTAAAACGAAGAAAAATATTTTTGTTGACCTTACCGACATTATAAATATAACAGCCAATTAAATTACAAAGTAATTAATTTTATAATGATAAATAATTAAAAAATTGAAATTCTACCTGCTTATAATACAAAAACATAAATAATTATACAAGCAAGTAAGAAATAGCAAAGAATAAATAGTCTAGATAAAATAATTTTAAAAATATAATGAAAAAAAAAATACTTATTTATTAAAAAATATATATACACAGTTGCTCGATATATTTTTTTTTTTAAATAAAAAGCATCTTATAATATAATACGACAGTTTACGACAGGCTCTCAGGAGCGATGTATTTTGATGAACGAGGTATCAAACGAAAGAGTATTAAATGGAGCAGTGACGAATCATAGTAACATCCACCCGAATTTTCAGGAAAAAAATTTATGAATGAAAATTTATTTGTAAATTACTTAAAAATTATACATTTTTTTCTTGATTAGACCCATTATTATTTGAAAAATTTGCTGAATTCCGTACAAAATGAAAAAAAAAAAACATGTAAATCGGACCATTATTTACAATGATACAGCCTATTGTAATTTATGTATTATTGCTTCATATATTATTTTCAAGGAATTGTTATAAAATATTAATTATCATTTTTACAAGTGCCGTTTTCGAAACATACTTTCGTAATCTCTGATTTTCGCATAGTAAAGGATAACTCTGACAATTCTTAAGATTAAGTAACTGCCTTTTAAAGCTCTTAAATGTACAGTTTTTCAGTTTTCTTTTGAGCCCAACCTTATATATGCGATAGGAAATCTTGATCATGGATTCTGATTCTTGTGAAAAATTAGAATTTTCAGCCTGCTGTAGATACAAATCGAGTGCACCTGCAGTTTAAAAGAATAAAAGATAGCAGCCTACCAAAACTACGAATCGAATACGCAAGAATAAAACCTGATAACCTATTGACAAATGGGGCATCCCTTGAGTTTTTTTCCTGCGTGGTAAATATCACGGTGATGAACATCTAGACTGAGCGTTGTGCATATAAAAAACATTGGAGTGAAGTGGATTTGGAAAATAATATTGTTGAAATTTAGAAAAACAGCACGAATACGACATCAAATTGTTTTTATTTATTAAAATACAAATAAATACAATATATATTACATATTTTTTCTCACTGGTGTTTTATTTCGCCACATCTTCGTTAGTTCCAAGTTCCAATGTACCATCATTTTAAAGATTGTTTAAACACAACCCCCAACATCTCAGAAAATCAAACAAACTTAATATAGCCTAAACAGGAAAAGTATGCAATTTACGGTAAATTAACTCCATGAATAATTAAAAGGCCACCAAATTTCCTACAAAATAAAAAAAATATATTTATCGAAATCGGACCATTGTGAGCAAAGATATAGACTACAATAAATTGTAAAAATGTTTTGGTTTATTTTTATAAATTAATTATTTTAATTATACCAAGAAAAGGAAAATGAATTCTTCCAACTCATAATACATTGCATTAACATATTTTCATACTATTCTATCAGTTGTTTTCTGACTAATATTTTATATGAATTATTTACACGGGCGAGCTAGTATTTATATATATATATATATATATATATATATATATATATATATATATATATATTTTTTCCCTACGTGGTAACCCCACACAAGGATCGTTTATTTGATTTTCCTTCATGCTCCATGCCTTAAAGACATACTACATGAATTACATTTGTTTACAATTGTTTTTTTTTCTAGTTTCACATGATTTACATCTTTAGTTCAAATTTATATACATTAACAAAAAAAAAACACAAAGAATAAACACACAAAAATTAAATCGGAAAATTAAATATTAAACACACAAAGTCAATCCAACAAAGCCAAAAAGAAATCACCCACGCTGCCCATCCCTGGTTAGTAAGTCGAAGTCGATCGATCTAATAAATCTAAGAAAGTCTGTCTTGAATTCAGTAAATAACTTTTGTTCCGTCTCAGGCCAATTTCCTCTTTTGATAATTATACTTTTTATTAACTCAAATCGCTGTCTGTCAAATCGTTTACATTCATATATTATATGTTTAAAATTTTGAACCTGTCCGTCTTCATCACATAAGTCTGTTTGTATAATGTTGAATCTTTTAAGATATTGTTTTGTATTCCCATGTTCCGTAAGTACTTGCGTAAGTTTGTAGTCATTACTGTGAATGTGTCTGTAATTGTGAATTGAAATGTGTGGTATAAATCTGTGTAAGCTTGGTGACTTAGCTGAGGTCACCCATATGTGATCCCATCTTTTGATGAAATCCAACTTTAAATTCATATTAATATACGATAAAGGAGCTTGATGATACGATGGCGGCAAATCGCTTTTAGCTGCTTCTTTTGCAAGGCAATCGGCTCGTTCATTGCCCTCAATCCCACAATGTGCTTTTACCCATTTTAGAGTCACTACTTTCCCTACAGTTCTCATCATTAACAATTTGTTTCTAATTTGGTCAGTCAAGTAATCATGAATGTCCCAATTATTAACAGAGTCTAGCAGAACTTTGTTGTCTGTATTTATAGTAACGTGAGTATTCGTTTGTAGAGGGTATTCATATATGTATTCAGTAACCTTTAAAACAGCGAATTTTTCTGCCTGATTATTTGAGCAATATGATTCTAATTTATATTGATGTTCTATATTCCTACCATCTTGAGCTCTGAACAACCATGCACATCCAACATTCTCGCCGTCCTTACTACCATCAGTGAAAACATCAGTATTTTCAGAAGTAATTCCCGGTCCAGTCCATAAACTTGTTGCAGGGTGTAACCAAGATTTACAGTCAGTGATTCTTTCTATTTTGTCTAGGGTCAGGTCTTTGTATCCTCTCTTTCCTTTTCTAATGTTATATAAGGTCGTTCGTTCTTCAATCTTCATTTGGATTGGCAACAGCCCTGCCAATAATATTGTGGCCTCGAATGATAGTGTACGATAGCCCTTACATATCTTAATCGCAATTAACCTCTGAAGCCTTTCCAACTTCACCAAATTTTTCTTACGTTCAACGGCCGGATGCCAGACATGCACAGCGTAGAGCATCTTAGGAAGTACAGCAGCTTCATAAATTTCCTTTAACACTTTCGATCTGAGTCCCCATGTCGCTCTTGCAGCCACTGATAGTCCATTTATAATCCTTAAAGTGTTGTCATATAGATTATCTATATGTCTGTTCCAATTCAGTTTTCTGTCAAAGAGAAGCCCCAAATATGATAATGTATCACATTGCGTTATTCTTACTGTATTGAGTCGAATATCCAATTCTGGTACAATTCTCTTTTTTGTGAAGATTATATATTTTGTCTTGTCTAGATTAAATTTAAGTTTGTTGCGTCTAGTCCATCGTCTCAGCCTTGATAATGTTATGTTTGCTATTGTCTGTAATTCATCGAAATCTCTTCGTTTTATAAGTAATAATAAATCGTCTGCGTATGCTAATAATGTTGAATTTTCCTGTAGGTCTATTTCGAAAACAGTATTGATTAAGATGTTCCATAGTATAGGTGATAGTGCTGATCCTTGAGGAGTTCCTAGCGTCAATTTCTTGTCAATATAATGAAAGTTTGTTTGGATTGCAAGTTTTCTGTCAGAAAAATAATTTTGAATGATTTTGTATATGTTTTTTGGACACTTATATTTCTTTAGATTATTTAAAATCGCAGGCCACCAGGCGTTGTCAAAGGCACCCGCGATATCCAAAGAAACAACCAGTAAATTACTATTTTGCCGGAGTGTACTGGTGATATGGTCGTTCAATTCACTGAGTGCATCGTCAGTTCCTGATTGGGGTCTGAATCCAAATTGGTGTCGGTGGAGTATATTGTTACTAAGTAGATGATGCATTAATCTATTTTTTATTATTTTTTCAAAAATTCTACTCATTACAGGAAGCATACTTAGTGGTCTCAGTGAAAATGAATTAGCCTTAGGAATCAATGTTAATTTACCCACCTTCCAGCTTTTAGGAAATTCATTTCTTTTGAATAAGGTTTTATAAAGTCCAGTTATCAATTTTGGATAGGAGTCAGCTATCTTTTTTATCATTCTTGGGTCAATTTTGTCTATTCCTGGCGATATATATATATATATATATATATATATATATATATATATATATACACATGCACACACACGTATCTATAAAAAATATGATACGTATGATGAGATGAGCAATAATGTCACAATACTGCAAAATAGTTGTTAGAAATAATGAAGTATGAAATAGCTGAATAAATGAAATTGGAAAAGAACGGTAAATTACTTTTCTTGTCAAATCATTGTAGTAATGAAAATATAATAATAAAAATAGATAAATATTTACAATAAATTATTTAAATCTGTACCTTAATATGTTCAAATGAGTACTTATAATGATATTGTAAACGTTAGAAAAGTCTTATATAATCTATATATTAAGATATAGATTGATAGGAGAAAACAAAATAAAACAAAAAAAGATTTTATGTGCGTTCAATATTAGTGAAAAATTATATACATCTTAAAGATTTAAAATCCTATAGAAAAAAAAACAAACAATTCTCAGTAAAAAGGGACTCGAAATCTATTCTATACTCATAATAGAAAAAAAAAATATATATATATATATAAATATATATATATATATGATGTATAGAAAAAAATGAAACCTTGTTACCTAATAAATAACTACTGATTGGACAAACGCTGGATAAATAGCGTCTGATTGGATTATAAAGAGAAATTGGAACAAAATTTTAAGTGGGATGGAATTCCAAAAAGTGGTGGAACGGGCAATATATATATATATAAGGAGTGTTTAAATGAGGCAGATTTGTGGAAAGGGGAATAAAGATCAGAAGGACGAAATCTTGTGGAGAGGGAGTGGATAGATGCCTTGAATAGAAGGAGATTGTCATAGATTATTTGATAAAGGAATGTTCCTAGGAAATATTGTCTTCTGAAGGAGGGGAAGATCCACCCTAACTCAGCGTAGTAGTGGGAAATACGAGAACGTCTCGAAGTTCCTAGAAAAATCTTACTAAGCCATTCATGCTTATATGTTTAATAAATAATAAAAACATATGTTTAATAAATCAGCAGTTTTAAAATTAATCATTCTGAGATAATCTTACATATGATTATTCTGATCATTTGATTTAAACTCAAATCACCAGTATATTACAGAACTTATAACATTATAACATAGAACAAAAGCATCTCATTTACCACGGAAACATTTTTGAACCTGCTCACACTATTTTCTTGAAGAAGGGGTCTTATTTAACTATTTCTCAAGTATGTTTTAATGATAAGTTTTATATATGTTTTGTTGGGTAATTATAAATAAAAGAACTTAATCTTGAGGATTATTATAACTGTTAATAAAATAAAATAATGTAGCAGTAATTTAACTGAACTGAGAAGCGACAACTCATAAAGGATTGAAATTGATTAATGACTGAAATCAAATTAACAATTAGAAAAATATATGAAAATCTAAATTGTTTATAACTTGTTCATTTTTAATAAAAAGGATTCATGCACATATATTTATGGTCTCAGCCAATTTATTTATTTACAGAATGTTTCGGGCTTTACAATCATCTGTGTCAATTTCGCCCTATATTACAATTAGTGTTGTCCGATTGCGCACTCAGTATTGAGCTTGGTCTTGGTCTTGCAACTGTCTTGCAGTTACCTATTAGCTAATTACTATAGAGATATTACTGTAATTTTTAGATAGGAGAAACCTAACTAAGTCCTAATGAAAAATTAGAAGAGTTAAATGAAAAAGCATATTGGTTATATCAATTCTTTACACATAGTAACTCAAATTGTCGAGTATTAATAACTATTTTGCCTTAATTATAATTCAAAAAATCGATTTGTCTTTATCAGACTTGGTCTTGATCTTGCAAAGTGCGAGAACAAGGCCGATTTTGGGCAAAACTAATTACAATCATTTAATCAACTTCTAGTAATACTCAAATAACAAAACTACAATTTCACAATATTTTTTCAGTGAATTTAGGAAGTAAATAAATAGTTTAATATACAAGCATAATCAAATAAAAGTTAGAATAGTTAAAAGTACATGTATAATTAATATTATAAGTTAAATACTCAATGAATGAAAATTTACAAGACTGATAAAATTAAATGTTAAAGATTACAATAATGAGAGTTAAAATAAACGGATTAAAATTAAATACTAAAGATTACAAGAAGAAAAGTTGACAAAAACAATCATAATTAAAGGTTAAAGATTAAAAGAAGAAAATTTGAGTAAAAACAATTAAAATTAAAGTTAAGGAAAAAATATTAATTAATTAATAAATTGTGTACAGTGTACTAAAAAAAATAAATTTTTTAATGAATAAAAACTTAAGTTGTTGACAAGTTGATTATGTGAATGATTCTACGCATGTAAACAAATATTTGAAATTCTCAACTACAAGAATCCTTAATGGATTCTTTTTATTTTCTCTAATTAAGAGGAAAAGTGCTTACAGCTTATATTTTATAAGCCAAACAAGGTTTTTTTCTTTTTTCTTAAAATGTTTTATAAATCATATGGAAAATTTTTCATATGTTCACAAGTGGTATTTATTATTTTTTAGCACGTGATTGATTGTGAATGTCGTAGAAAGTATTTCGAAAACATTTAGTGAAGTAGAAATAATCAATCTTTTGTATTTTTATTATCGACAAAAAGCGCAATAAATATAATTAAATGTTAATCATAAAAAACTAAATAATTACACTGAACATTTCACAACAAATATAGCACGTGAGAGATGTCTGAAGTTTTAAAATTGCACATAACTCGATGATATAGGAACGTGTTCAAACCTAACAACTCCAAATTAACGATTAATTTATATGTATTTAAAGAATTCTATTATCTAAATATTATCCAAAGTGAAAACAATGATAAAAATTATTAAACAATGGTTTATGATTTAAAATAGTTATAGATAAATATAAATCTGTTGCAATGCGCACAGCAAACAACTTTCATGTACAGCCATACATAGCGCACATACCTACATATATATTCGCACATACATAGTTACATTGCACCGTTGTTATAAATAGAGAAGTTAAACTAAAAATAGACATTTTTATTTTAAAATAATTAATTTCCACATATTTTCCCTCTCGTATAATCCATTAAATTATTACACTTTTCGTCACTGTCTATTTATTTCCACGACTGTGTATTTTGCTTAAATCTTTAATTATATCGGTTTATTTTATTCCAATTTTCGATTATTAGGATACAGGGGAGGAAGGGCTTCTTTAACGTGTATTTTCTTTGAAAACTCGGATTCGACATTTTTAACAATCTTAATATTTTTCTTATTATTTATGTATAAATATTATTATTATTTTATTATATATACATTATATAATAAAATAATAACAATATAGGTGTTATAATAAAGCCAGTTATAATATATGGCTGTGAGATCTGGACATTAACCAGCACCCGAGAAAAAAGTGTTGAAAGATTTAAGAGAAAAATCCTCCGCACGATAACCGGATCGATCTGGAATCAGAGTACTAATACATGGAGAAGAAAATTCAATAAAGAACTGCTAACAGAAACTGATCAATCAATATCCCATGATATGAAGGCACGAAGGTAAAGATGGGCGAGGCATGTAGCTCTTAGCAATCCATCTGGAAGCCTCTATGTAACAATCAATGCCTCAATAGAACCACGTGAAAGGACAAAAAGTAGATGGATAAATAGAATCAACAAAGATACAATAGAGCTGCGTATAGATAAAAAGAAATAAATAGCCCAAGACAGGCAAAGATGGAACAGGCAGCAAATGATCTATATATATCAATTGTAATTGTAAATGTCTAAGAACTTTAAAAATTACTGTATTCTCATAAAATTATATTAATGTAATACGTATTTTCCTCCAAAATATTAATAATTATAATATAAATATCAATCTTATGTTTTTTTAATAATAGGATGATGTATTTGTTCACAAAGAACTTATGGAGCATTTTCGACAAAGTACAAAATCAGGTTCTTAAAACTCAATTTCAGAATTGGTCCAGTTCAAAAGATATGATTTCCAAAGAAGAGAAACCAGTCGCTCACCGTTTCGATCCTTTACCAGTGGTCAAAAGTAAAGGTAAAGGTTAAATAATTTCCATTTATAATTAGTAAAACTATTTTTATTATTATTAATAATTTATTGAGTAATATAACAATCTTTTACTTGAGCAATAGTTATAATAAGGCAAGATTACATTAACGGTATATGTACAGAATATATAAAATAAATAGAAGCAAAATAAGAACTAAACAATTAATTAAAAGTATATGCCATAAATAAAAATTTAAAAAAACAAAAACATATCTATGCAAACATACATACACTATTTACAATCAGGCAAGGGAATTCCAAGCCTTGTGTTGGCTTACATTACCTAAATTACTTTTTATTGAATAAAAAATGTGACCACCTTAAAAAAAAAAAAATTGGTCTTAAATCCTTTTCTGTTCGGAATTGGCCGATGCATCAAACGAGCTTTTTAGTTTTAGAGCCGAGACACTCTGTATAATAATTATTATTTTTATTGCTAATTTATAACTATAATATATATTCAACAAGTCCAGCTTCATATAATTTCACCCTTTTATTTCTAATACTTTCATAGTACATTATATTGTGCTTCCTATTATATTCCATAATAATTATAATTATATCACAATATAATAAAAATAATATAATAATTAATATATTGTATTCAAGGTGTATTGTCTAGATGGAAAAATAACTGCTGTCACCTAAGTATCAAACTATCAACTCCATATGAATACCATTTCTCCTGCAATATTTTAGTCTAAATAAAATTTATTTCGTATTAGGAGAGTTGGAGGTAACAGGAGCTCAAAACATATGTAATTAAATTTTTACAATTTGTAAAATAATAGCCATAGGAGCGCAGTACTACTTGAGCTCCTGTTACCTCCTAATCTTGTGATACCTAAGTGAAATAAAATATGAGTCACTAAAAACTCTTTTATACAGTATGTTTCACGGTTCATGTGGCCAAAATGAAAATATGAATTAAGGGCCTAAAATAAGAAAAAGATTTCCTCTGGAGGTATATCCGCAAACGCTTTGTTTAGGAGATATTCACACCTTCAGATTTTCATTGTTATGAATTATTTACGTTATATAGAGTAAATAAAACTTATTTATTTGTCCCAACTACTTTATTAATTAAACTTAAACATTAAATTCATATTAAATGTTGTTCAAACCTTGAACCTTGAGCATTAAGACAGGCTCGGCATTTTTCTTCAACAGCAGCAGTGGCAGAATGGCACTGTTTCACAAGATTCAATTATCCTTCTTCGTAAGGAATTAAGGTCATTGACAGGACTTGCATAGACTTTTTTATTAATTTTTGTTTAAACATTACAAAAACCCTATACAAACACCATATCGGCATATTCACTATTAGTATATATGGAAGGCATAATGATGAGTACTCTGCGAAAGCCTCTTACAAACTGGTAAATGTTATTGAGAGTTCCCAATACTGATTCCGAATAGTATTAATCCTTATGTTGCCAATAGTTTTTATACAGTTAGGAATAAAAGGCCATATTAGTATTCTATCTAATCCATCTCCTAAACAAAGTGTTTGCGGACATGCCTTTACTTAGATCAACATTTAATATGAATGTTAATGTTTACATTTAATTAGTTAGAACAAATAAATAGGTTTTATTTATTTAACGTAAAAAATTCATAACATCGAAAATCTTTATGTGTGAATATTTCCTAAACAAAGCGTTTGCGAATATACCTTCACAGGAATTTATATTTTGTTCTAAGGTCCTTAGTTCATTTTTGCAGTTTGGCCACTTAACCCTGAAACACCCTGTATAATGAAGAGATTATTATTGAACAAGCGTGAAATATCAACACTTTCAATTTTTTAATTATATTTTCATCCTGTTCTCATTGGATTCATTTAGGAAATGAAGTTTCGGATAAAGTGGGAAAAAGATATCTTGATTTCATTGCCAGATTTGCATCATTTAATTTTGGACATTACCATCCTAGAATACTGAAAATGTTTAAAAAACAAGGAAGCATGTTGTCATCCACAGAGCGAGTAGACGATAACCATTCGCTTCCAAAATATGCAGAAGTTAAGACGAAAGATTTTAATCATGGCTGTGTGGTCCCAATGACTACAGGTACTTATTTCCTCAGCAATGAATTTTCCGAATATATGTAAGAATAACATATTTGTATTTTACAGATGTCAGCCTCATTTTATTGTTATCTTACAGATACGTATATATATATATATATATATATATATATATATATATATATATATTGTTTGTATGTTAACATACTCTTAAAAAAAAAAAAAAAAAAAAAAAAAAGCCTGTTCCACTACAACTCATGAAGGGTATGGGGTTCAGTACTATTTAGGAAAAGGACTGTTTCTAGGTCAACGGTTGTGCAAGGAGGTGATTTGACCGAGATCACGCTCAACCGCATGGTTTTCCCCCTTAATCAATTATTAAATTAAGGTTACCCACTTTATAGAGGCTGGGTGTGCCCAGGAGGGACTCCCGACCCAGAGTCGCCCCACGGCCAATGAAACAGATAAATAAATTTTCTGCCATGAGCCGGGGTTCGAACCCGGGACCTTTGCATTGGAAGCTCAGTGCCCTACTACTGAGCTACCCCACTTTTGTTAACATACTCTTATACCTTTATCTATAATTCAAATGTTATGCCTTTCAATCATTTTAATTTTCAGGCTCGATAGCAATGTAACTTAATTGTTTCTTGGCATCTTCTTATGCCAGATAAATGTCACTTACTTGTTCATTATAATTATTATTTTTATAAGTATTGAGGAGACTGAATGTCTCAGAAGAAAATTTGCTATTCATTCTTTATTTCTTTCTATCTTTTTTATATTATTCTAACAGTAAATATTACAATCTGCCACATTAAAGGGCAACAAGTAACAAGGGTAAATGTTCATTCATACCATTTATACATATAATAAGGGAAAAAATATAATGATTAAATAAAACTAAATGAGTAACGTAAATATAAAAGCAATACAACACACATAATAATACATAAGCGAAATAAGAAATAAACCAATAACTAAAAATAAAATAAATCTTTTTATCACATTCATTACTATGTACAATAAATAGTTTTACTTCGCTACATACTCGATTTTACATTCGCCCAGGAAACACTGAGCAAAGCGTTGTCCTCCAAAAGTGAAAGGCAAAGCAGGAATCTAGGAGATCTCTTCTAGCCGCGTCACTGGTAAGCCAGCGAAGACCAAAGGAGGACACTAGAGTCAGAGATGCTCAGGACTTGAATGAAGAAGGTGGCCATTGCCAGGAATCCAGAAGCATATTTACAAGAGATCTCGAAACCACTGCCGTTTTGACCTTCGATGAGGTTGTAGGGATGGTGGGAGTTGAATAGGAATTAAGCTAGAGTATTTGAATGATGAAGAAGGTTCTGGTGAAAGTTTGAGAATCTGAATGGTATGATGTCGAGAATGTTAAGGTCATGGTGTAAGGTCTTATTTGCGACATAATATGGAACATTGACTACTGTTCTAAGTACTTTGGACTGGAAGGATTGGATGCGTTTGATATTCGAATTTTTATCAGTTAAAGTCCATAACTCCAGATAGGTTTCAGTATGGTCTTGTAGATTAAAAGTTTATTTTCAATAGAAATATGAGATGTCCTGTTTTGTAGTCTATATAGCTGGCCATATCGTCGGTTAAGTTCTTGTCTTTTAAGTCTGGTATGTGGGTTCAAAGTTATTATTTTGTCTAGGAGGAAGCCAAGGTATCGGACTGTGTCTGAGTAAGGAAGTGGTATTGAATTAAAAAGGATTGGCGGACAGGATCTGCGTCGCATGGTGAAAGTGACATGTTTGCATTTTGATTCGTTGATTTTGATGCTCCAGTTGTTGCACCACTGCTCAATCAAATAGAAGTGGCATCAAATTGGGTCAAATGAGCCCTTTTTCACTAAGATTCATTACATGGCATGAATTCTAGAGGATTGAGCACGTTTGGAAAAATATTCATCGTCTTCCAAATGCTCAATAAATAGTAGAAATCGTCAAAACTTCATTTAAGTATTTTTATGAACTCTCCTCCAGAACGATATGACTTAAAATGACTCAACTAAAGCAAATCAAACAGATACTTTAAGAAAAATTGTCACCAACGATAATATTTTAATGTTTACCTTTATTTTTTCGATGGTCGCAACGAAGGAATCTAACCTTAAACATTCTCCTGAAATATCTTGTTCGCTTATTGAAATACTAGGAATGTATCACCATCTTTAATTTGCATTTATTATTTTATATTTTTGTATTCAAGGAATTGAAGGCGGAGAGACAGCTGTCCAACTCCCAAGATATGACAAGGGTTATAGATGTAAAAATATTCCTGATCGGAAAGCTGGAAAAACTTGGGAATCCCTTTCGACGAATAACAAAAATGAAGCTCAGAAACCCTTTGGTCCATGGATGAAACTCTTTGGTCCATGGATGCCTGGTTTTAAATTCATTTACTCATTCATTGAATTCATTCATTCATGATAAGGTCGAATGCTTGGAAGTACGGCTTTAAAATAAAAACTTTTTTTGTAAATATATTTCTGTATCCCGGAGGTAAAGAACTTCACGTCCATTTTTGTATTTGTTCAGAGGAGCCAATTTCTATAATAGATCTATACCCTTAATAGATATATTTTCACTCTTGAAATAAATAGAAATAAAATATATGAAAAAATTAAATTTTTTGTTTGTTACATTTTAAATTAACATTTCGAATACAGCCTAAAATTTGATAACCTCATAAAACAATGTTTTAACCTTATCTACCTTTCCGTATGATCAAAGCCTTTCACATTGCACAGAAATTATATTTCAAATGAGTTTTTATATTAATTTAATTGTTAACTGGAATTCGATGAAATTTATACTTTGCACATTTCCTCCAACTTTAGATCAAATAGAACGAGCCGTTTTCTACCTGCTTGTCAAATACAATACATTTGCAGATTCAAAAGCGGAAGTTCATTTTGAAAGTATTGGGTTGAGTTTGGTGAAATTTATGTATTACCTACTATTCTAGAAATTTTTATGTTCGTGAATAATTTTTTTTTTATCACAGTTACGGAATGAATTAATCCGTAACAAATAATAATAATAATATTAATTTAACTTTTATTTTAATAATTGAGTTTGTTAAATATGCCAATTGGTAAACCATGTATTGTATTGACAATTCTAATAACTCAAAGGATAAAAGAACAAATCTGTCCCTTCATAGCCAGGGTAAGCTATCTCTGACAGTTTAAAAATAGTTATCTTGAAGGTAATGACCGACTGGACACAAGACCCATTATCAAGACTTAGTTAACAATAACAGATTTCAGCAAAAGGTCTCTTTCTCACAGACTTTATATCAAAACTAAAGGATATCGATATCAATTATAAATAGTTAATAACTTCTTTCCACGCTTCCTAGACCTCCCAGAATTTCATCACCCTCCTGTAATTCCTGGGTATATTATTCCCATGGTCCTCTGGACTAATCACTCTTGCAGTTACATTCTTGAAGTCACATTCTTGTAGAAGACCCGGAGTGAACTGTTTTAGTCAACCCATATATTCATAGTATTATTCTGTATGTTAAGATGCCATTTGTAACAGAAATTATGAATAAAAATATTACTTATAAGGCCTCCGATACGTTAACTTCACGAATAGTCGCGCTTTTATGTCTCAGCCAATCCGAGATGAGACTGAGATTGTAATTTCATCCAAAAGTTAATTCAAAAGCTACAGGAATGTGTGCACTAAAATCGAAGTCCTCTGGATAGCCGATGAAGTTCAGTCAGGCTTAGAAAGGACTGGAAAACCTCTTTATGTCCATCAAAAACATATTAGACCTGACATCCTTGTTTTTGGAAAAACACGTAATAGAGGATTTCTGCCAGTAAGTATACCATTAATTGATATAATAATTTATTTAATGTTATATTCGTTAAAGTATTAAATCTATGAAATGACTACGACTTTCAAATCCAAAATATTAAAACTAATAGCTTCTTGGTACAACCAACTATCGAACAACACATACTCTTACTCTTTATTCCCGATTTAATATCAAACTAGACGGATATAACAACAATAAACACAGCCTATCAGAAGACGACAGAAAAGGAGCTGGGTGAGAGATTAATTGAATTAAAAAGTTAATAAAAATAAGTAAGGAGTACTGATGTAAACTATTATTGATTGTCGACACATTTGCAAATAACTTTCAACAATGAATGATGCGAATACATAAATGAAGGGAAACAAATCTGGTTTGTCCACTCACACGGCTTTCCTACCTATTTCAGAAAATTTTATATATGTTTACATATATCCATCAAGAAATAAAAAATAATTAAATTAGGTTTTTTTTCCTGAAAATTGATCAAAGAAAAGATTTGAGTACGATTTATTTGATACTCTCTTGCTGATCAAAAACTTTTCGCCATAGCATAATTTTATCAAACAATAATTTTTGTTTGAAATAGAGGAAATAGTGAAGCTTGTCTGATGCGGGTGACAGATTTTCTTACTTTCGCTTAGTTATCTTTTTTCTCTCATTCACCCCTTTCTGGCACTAAGATATGAACCCGTAATCTTACATTGGGAATCGAATAGCTGTAACTTCGTTAATAGTTGTCCAAAATGAACAAATTGTGTATATTTTTGTAGGTAATTTCATTACCTTTAATAAAACAGGCTAAAGGTGTTTTTCGGGCTCAGGTTTCGTATAAAATGTTTTAATAGGATCATAGAATTATTCATGAACCTATTCTAAACAGTTGTTATGATTTATTATTAATATTATTATTTTACAGTTGTTTTATTTAATTTATTGTACATAAAGTTTGAATGAAACCACTATATCACTATTACTCATGCCTTTAATTGTAACAAAGTTTTAAGAAAAAAAAATTATGAAAGAAATATTACATTCTTTCTCAATGAAGGATATTTATAATAGAGATCAGACCATATTTACAGAAAAAATGAATGAATAAACTACTAACAATAAAATACATATAAATAAGAACAAAAAAAAAAGAAGGAAATTGTTAGTGATAAAAAAAGCATAAATGCGATACATTCGACGGCTTTGGTAATACATAAACGTATGGTGATTATTTTTTTAAATAATAGTCCGTGGCACAGATCCCTTTTTATCAAATTAATAACATCCACCTGAAACCTTATAAATAGTTTCATCTCATCGTAACCTACAACTATTTTATTTATGGAAACTCTTGGAATTTGTGCGTTTTCAATCTGAAGGTGGGCAAACTTTGTCTATTTAATTGGGTACTAAAAACTCGCAAATAACCATTTATTTTCCTCTTGGATCGAGATAAAAGGTGGCCTTCAAAAATATTAAGCCGTTTGGCGTAACCTAAACCCCAAAATTTTCAAAATAACGTGAATGTATAGGACAAACGGCCCAATGTTTTTGTAGACTACTTTTTTTCTCTATTTTGTGATCAAATTATCTTACAATCAAAGTAGAAAGCAAATGTGTATTTATGAGTTTTTAGTACCTAATTAATAGAAAAAGTTTGTCCCCCTCCAGATTGAAAACGCCTCAATTCCAAGAGTTTTTGTGAATAAAATAGTTATAGGATACGATGAGATTAAACAATTTATGAAGTTTCAGTCGGATGTTAATAATTCGATAAATAGGGGCCTGTACCACGAACTATTACTACTTCTGCTAAAAAAAAAAAAAAAAAAAAAAAAAAAAAAAAAAAAAAAAAAAAAAAAAAAAAAAAAAAAAAAAAAAAAAACAAATGGGGCTAGTGAAAGTTGTGTTATGCTCACACCACAACCGATTTTTTTTCGTATTTAAACGAGAATATAATCTTCAAAATGGTAGCTGGATCTCTGGGTTTGATAAAGAATTAACGAAGACGTCACCGCTGTTGAAGTTCATTATTTTTCATACGACCCTCCTGCAAGTCTTTGATCTTGAACAATGAACTTATAAAGGCTGTCCTTGGAGTTGCTGACCTTCGTCATTCAAATAAAAAGTATGCGAGTTCTTCTTTTTCGAGGAGGTTGCAAAGAATAAACATTTCTACACAGTTCACTTGGTAACTGGATATCCACGAATTTCGTTTATCTCCTAATATCAAAATGCGAAAGCGTGCCGTATTTGAAGATTTCATATTTGATTATCGTGAACTAAAAAAAAAAAGAAAAAAGAGTGCATACTGAACATGCATTTCACTACTTTTTAGTGCAAAAGGTCGTATGTAAAAATTGATTGTTTTGCATAAAAACTCATTATTTCTGTATGCTTTGTTAGTTTAATTTCATATTTTACTGTCATCTACTATTTTCCATAGTAGCACTTATATCAATTGCATGTTACAAAATGTCACCTTTAGCAAAAATAGAATAAAAGTTGAAAATTTTTACATACGACCTTTAACACTAATAGTAGTGATATATACTTAATAGGTATGTTTTCACTAGTAAAATAGATGAAACTAGAAAATCCACAGGAAAAATTCAACTTTTTGTTTGTTCGGATTTAACGAGACTTTCCTTCAGTCAGAACAAAACGCTTTAAGCTATGTCAAAATATGGGTGAAGCTCACATAACTTCCATATTTAAGAAGGAAATCGAGACCAAGACGAACTGTTTGAACTTAAATAGAAATAAATTCAATCGAAAATAAGACCTGTTTTTTTTTTTTTTTACAAACTCAGAGTATAAATTACTTTAAAGGTATTGGGAATTACACGAAATCTAAGTAACGCCAGTAACGTTTGGAATCGACCAAACAATACAGTATCAATTAATTTTTTTAATAAAACCTAAAATTTTATAACTTGATAATAATATTGTAATAATCTAACTCCCACTCTATATGATCAGTGTCTTCAACATTTCACAGCCATTATATTTTTAATAATTATTTATATCAATTTTAATTATTAAATGGAATTCAATGAAATTGATTCTTAGTGATTTCTATACTGTTCTCCAAGTTTGGGCCAAATCGAATGCACCGTTTTCAAACTATAAGCATATCAAATAACACATTTCCTAATCTGTAAGCAGAAGTATTTTTTTTTTTGGAGTTGTAGATAGAATTTGATAAAATTGATGCCTATTTTATTTTACGTTTACCCATCCCTATATTCCATCAAAATTTGTGCTAAATCGAATTTTGCGGTTTTGAATATATAGACGTATGAAGGAAAACAAGCTTGCGCATATATAAGAGAAAGGACCGGACAGAATCCAATAAAATTGACCCTAAATTCTTTTTTCACAAATACCTACCTTTTATCCAATTTTGAGCCAAATCGAACGAGCCATTTCTGAAATATTGGCATATCTACAAAAATGCGTTTTCGCGTGTAAAAGCGAAAGTGCTGATTAGCATTTAATAAAATTGATATGGAAACATCTAGACACCTACCCGCACAATTCCTGAATATTTCATGAACATTGGATGAACGGTTGTAGGTACATTGTAGGTATCCAAGGGTACATTGTATCCGTTACATCGATTTGACTACAGACAGACACCGAACCAAATTTGATCATTGATGTCTGAAAAGTAAATTGGACATTTACTTTTAAGACATTGGACATTCATGGCAAGTGGAAATTTTCTGAGCACAAAATTTTGTTTAACCTCTCGCACGAATACAATACTTCTCTACCTGATACAATACAATGATGTAGTTTATATGTGGGACAGGATATTCACCTTATGTGAGAGTTCCTCCATGTGGGAACATGTTTATATTTTACAGTCATTGTTAATTACAATGTAATCGTTCGCATAAGATAATTTTCAATGATTAATAATCAATCGAATCTTAACCTCAACCTAGATGTCAAAAAAAAAGCGCCGCGAATTATTTCACAATGGCTTATTATTTACAACATGAAACAATGAACCAAACAATTATACATCTAAATTAACATTACCTTCCTAGTGACAAAGAAAAAGAAATAAAAGGTGATTCCAATTATTACCCTAAAGATTTTTTTTTCATCATTCGTCATTTGCTAAAAAAAAATTACATTAATTCAGTGAAATGTTAAAAAATCAAAAACAAAAGAGAGAGAATCACTTTATTATCATAAAATAAAATAAAATGGTGCTGCCCAATTACATTGGGTTGCTAACAAGACAGCATACTTATTAATCACTACAGACATTATTTAAAATTATTATACAATTATAGGATTAACAATATGTATGAGCATAGTATACAATATTTTATACGTATATATATATATATATATATATATATTATTTTTTTTTTCTCCTTTTGTTTTTATAATTTTTACTATTTCTTTCATTCATTTATTATCATTCTGTATCCTTTCTCTTCCTTCTCTCCCCCTATACATGTTTCCACTCCTCACATTCTCTCCTCTCTCTTTCTAACCTAATACATAAAGTACAGTGGACGTGTTCAATAAATAATAATATAAAAATGCTGTAACACACGCATGCTGTAAAACCTGCATGATATAAGGTTTTTCTTTAATCATTAGTAATATGTTTAAAAAAAATAGCATTAATTCAGTAACACATTCAAAATTTAAAAACCAAACCAAAGATATAACATCTGGAGTAGAACACATAAAAAAAAAACCAGAGACCATATCTTTGCTCCTAATTGTCCGATTTTAACGATTTTTTTTTTTTTTTTTTTGAGAAATTTCGTAAATTCTTAAAAACCACCTTTCGAGTTATTCGGAATGAAATATTACCATCCCTCGTAACTTTTTTCCATTGAAGTATGTTATATAGATAAATTTAAAGGGCATCGAGAAAATGACTTTAGCTAAGTTCCATTGAAATCTGTACATACGTTTAGTACATACAGTCTATAGCAACGCAGGTTTTTCGGCCGCCATTTTGAAAGTTAAAGGCGGAGAGTAATGTCGATGAAGGAGGATCGGGTGACCTCTGATTTTATATCAAAATTTGAAAAAAAAAAAATCGGTCTAGTAGTTTCGGAGAAAATGGGCGTACGGCGGACGGCGGACGGACAAAAAAATTTTTATTCGTTCTTCAAACTCTACGCGTCTTGAAACGTGAAACCTCAACTTTTGAGAGGGGGTTATGTTTTTGAATTTTTTGGTCGATCACAATGTTTCATTATTGAAAATAATAAACCAAAAACATCTAGAGACCATATATTTGCTCCTAATTGTCCGATTTTAACCATTTGTTTTTAATTTTTTAGGAAATTTGAGTTATTCGGAATTTAATATAACCATCTCTCGTAACTTTTTTCCAGCTTCTTTTCGTTGAAGTATGTTATATAGATAAATTTAAAGGGTATGGAGAAAATGACTTTAGCAAAGTTTCATTGAAATCGGTACATTCGTTAAGGCGCTACAGCCTATAGGAACGCAGGTTTTTCTGCATTTTTATTTTTTTTCTCCTTTATTAATTTATCAAATTCTTTCAAAAGTTATATGTAGCATTTTTTCGTAACTCTGAATAATGCGAAATGGTTACCTATTTAAAATAAACTATATTAAAGGTACTTCAGAGGAAGACATATATGAACATTGGGCATTTAAGCCCTGTAACGTGATATCAACGGGGATAACACCTTAATTATACAATGATACACCGAGTTTGATCAAAATCGTTGGAGTCGTTTTTGAGAAAATTGTAAAAATGTGTTTCAGCGTTCATATAAAGTGGCACTTCCGGTTAGCCGATTTTAACGAAAAAGTTACTGTCATCCGACCCATATACAAACCTTAAATATTTAATATCAGTTTCGTACTACTTTTAGTTTATGAGCTAGACTGTTAACACACACACACACACACACACAGACACACAGAGCATTTTGCGACACTTGGTTATTTGAACTCAGGGGACCTCAAAACATGTATTTCCGTTGACAACTGAGATTCGAAAATGTTCACGATTGCAATACTTACCCTTACTATATATTAACGATATCAGTTTCAGTACCAGTCCTGTACAACAGTTATAACAAAAAAAATATTGTACAATTCTGATTTTTGTAAGGTTGAAAAATGGTCAGAATGTGCAGTCAAAATGCATGTTTATTGAGTTTTCCAACGTTTCGACCCACACAGATGGTCATCCTCAAGGGAAAGGTTTAAAACCCGAGCAAGAACTAGTATCTGAACTGTATTTTTCTGTGTGATATTGAGTACAGTGAATAATAAAAAAAATTCAATCAAAACTATTTTTATTTTCAAAATAAATATATTTTTTTTTAAATTAAGTAAATATGAAATTAGTAACATGGCATGTACAACATGAAGAAAATTACCTATTGGTAGCACTCCGATTATACTTCTATATTAGAAGGTCCCGATACCTTCTTCTTTTCAGACGTCTCGCACAGTTATCAGGAATAGAAGTGGAAGCAACGTTAGAAACAAGAGGGTTCGGATGGTTCAGAAGTTTATTATGGAAGGATTGAGCTAAATCGGAAACATATGGTACATTAAGGTCATTATGGATGATTTTATTTGTGACAAATAACCATTGACCATTGAGGATTTTACAAAGGATTTTAGATTGTAGGGATTGGATACGAGAGGAATGTGATGATTTAGTAGAGTCCCAAAGCTCGATCCCGTAAGTCCAAATAGGCCTTATTATAGTAATATATATGAGTCTTTTGTAAATAGTTGGCAGTTTAGAGCGTTTGTCTAGTAAGTGCTGAAGTAATCGGAAACGTCGAGCGGTTTCTTGTCGTTCTCTTAAACGAGGATTCCATGTTAATCCTGAATTCCATGAATGAGAATACATTATATTTATGTGGGTGTCAAAGACTTTTATTCTTTAAAATATGTATATATTTATAAATAGTTTTATAGGTTTTAATTTCTGTACTAATCATTAGCATAATTAATAATGTAAATTGAACATTCATACTATGAGGAATCACATTAATTATTATGTATAACTATGTATATATGTGCAACTTCAAATATGCAGAACTTTCAAATATTGTACGGTGTCTCTATGGTAGAGAAAAGATAAATATCTAAATATATTGTGCGATAAATAATAAATATATTTTTCTCGAAAGGGCAAAAATTGCGCATTGAAGAAAAATTAAAAACTACTATGAAAAAAATATCATTTTTCTTAATTCAACTTATTCCATTTGTAATAAGTTTGCCTGTAAAAATCAAGAAACAGAATTAAGAAGAACACTGCAGGAAATCCCCAGGATACGATGAACAACGCATTGGGCTTGCAGCCATCGGACATCATCTTGCAGAGCATAGAGATGGCAGCAATGAACTGCAACTGAAACATTAATTAATATTACAAGTAATTAATTATAAATAGCTCAATTCTAATGGATTGTGCAAGGAGATGGTTTGACTGTGATCACGTTCAACCACCAGGGTACCCACTTTATTGAGGCTTAGTGTGTCCCAGGAGTGTCTCCTGATTCTAGGGTCGCCATCTGGCTAATGAAAAATAAAAATAATTTGTCTGCCATGAGCCGGGATTCGAACCCAGGACCTTGAGCATTGGAAGATCAGTGCCCTACCACTGGGCTACGCCACTTTTTAGATTGTTTAACTCTTTTTTTTTTTTTTTTTTTTTTTTTTTTTGTATAGCCTGTTTTTACAAGTATTACACCTGTAGGCCTCCCCAATTAAGAGGGTAATGGTCTAACTTTGCGCGGGGACCAGCCGTATTGGGAAGTAGGGCCGGGATTCGATCCTATGATCTATACTTAACCTATCCTATGATCCTATGATATTTACTGTTTTAAATATTTATTAACTTAATCGTTAATAAATATTTAAAACAGTTTGGGGCTGTAAATGTCTCTCTGTCTCAAATGGAGAATTCTTGTGACGTGGATGGAAGATAAGCGCTGGGATCTTCTGTAGCCTTGCTATCTCTTTCACACGTGGAAGACAAAGCCTGACTCGGAGCTTATTGGGCGAATGTGAATATTTTATTTATAGGTATGAATGAATTTCAGATGGTTTTGATTCATATATGTAACTTTTTGTTATCTAGTGAAACGTTTTTGTTTTAGAGAGCAAAAATGATCTATGCTTTGGGGAGGAGGAGGAGCAGTTCCAAAAATGTTACTATAAAAACTGTTTTTTTACAATAAAGGTGCAATGAACTTAATTTATTCAAATGAAACGGTTAAAATAACTTTTGATTTATTTTCTAAAAACATATTGAAATTAAAGTTCCATTACATTCTTTGAAAAAATAATACGATCTCAGAAATAAATGTATTTCCGCACTATTTTTTTTTTTGTTAATATTTTGGTCGTTAAAAGAAAATAGTTGCACCATCGAGTTCATTGGGTATTTTACATGGGAATCGATACTTATCTCAATTTCGATAAAAATCGATGAGGGTCCACTTTCCAGAAAGTTTGTTCATTGTTAAATCACATCAGCCTACTTTCAAACTAATTTGTAAATTAATAAACACAGTAATTGTTAGATTGGTGGAAGAGAGCGCCAGATATAAAATAATTTTATTTTTAAATAATAATTCCTCAGGATACTTACAATCTGAATGGTTGTGACATATTTCTTCCACCAAAGATACTTCTCCGTTGAAACAGCTATACCAGCAAGGAAGTAATAAATATACATTATGACGTGTACTGTCGTGTTCATGGCTACAAAACGGATAACTAATTCCTCTGAAAAAAAAAAAAAAAAAAAAAAATATATATATATATATATATATATATATATATATATATATATATATATATATATATATATATATATATATATATATATAATTGATTTAATAACTTATGGTAACAGAGATTCATATTTTTTACTTTCTGTTACTTATATATGACATATTTAGTAAGTAAAAGTATTGTGAACGTTAAAAAATTTCTATCTTGAGTTTTCAGTAGTTAAGGAATCGCAGGAAGTGAAGACTTCTTTAGGCGCGTTTCACACTTTTTTTTTTAGTGAATTAGATAGAGCCGTCAGACCTCCGATGTGTAATGCTCGGGTAAAATCGGGTGGAGTCGACTAATTCAGGTGTTTTTGTATATGGATTAAAATATCTCAAAAACTAAGAATCGGTCCTGCATATTTTTAACGAGGAGAATTGTTCATTATTTCATCCTCTGTGTAATGAGCTAATATTCGAAATTCTATCTTAACGCGACGCCATGTTAGGAAGGGGAAAACAGAAAAAAATAGTGTCAAAAACCAAATGATAATGAGTTTTATTGAAAATATGGATTAAAATATCTAAGAAACTAAAAATAGGACCTGCATACCATAGGTGAGAGAATTGTTCAGCATGTCATCCTTTTTATGAGCTATTACTTATAATTTATATTCTATATTATTAATCCCACCTTGTTGATGTTTTAACTTCTATCGTGTGGTCCAAAGCACACACCTTAGTTTTTTTTTTATTGCTGTTATTATTGGCATCTTATCAGGGGTGCCCATCCCTCCCAAGGTCGATGGCACAAGATCCTACTCTCTCCCTCTTCAAAGATATTTTATTGCTTACCTTTTTATAAAAACAGAGCAAGGGAAAGTAGAAATACACTTTCTGCGGTATGTTCCATGTTTTCCCCCTTACCCCATATTCTGAAACTTTTCATGACAGAAATTCATATATCCGTTGAAATGTACACCCCTCAAAAAATTAAAAACCCGTCATAATATCCTCTCTCGAAAAGTTTGATGTATCTTATATACTGAATTATAATATAACTATATGAGATTACTACGAGAGTATGACATTATATTATATTTTAGTATTATAGCCTTACGTCCATGGGGATAAATAAATTACCAAAAAATAGTAGGAGAGGTGAAGTAATTCGAAAAAGGCCTGTAAAGTGACCAATCTAGAGGTAAACAAACTTTTTCTATTTAATTAGGTACTAAAAACTCATAAAACTCATTATATTATGATTCCACTGGAATCATAATATAATCTTATCACAAAATCGAGAAAAAAGTGGCCTACATAAATATTGGAATACTTGGCGTGACCTCCACACCCAACATATCAAAATAACGAGATTATATAGGATAATTGGCCCAATATTTTTGTATACCACTTTTATTTTCGATTTTGTGTACAAATTATCTTGCGATTTAAGTGGAAAGCAAATCGGTATTTATGAGTTTTAGTACCTTACTAAATTAATTAATTTAGTGCAATGTGCGTACATTCATGTAAATGTGAATACATAAAATATTTTTAGGTTACAGTTAGATGATGCCATGTTAATAATTTGATTAAAAGGGGTCTGTACCACGGACTAATACCCATTTTAGCTCAAAATAGTGAAGTTAGTAAAAGTAGTGTGATGCGGGCAACGCACCAGATTTTTAATATTCAAGATTACATAGGTATGTAATGAAATATTCATAAATATTTAATTTTTTTTTAAATAAGAAATATATTTGACAGAGAAATGCTGTTGGTTCTCCGCTCTCTTTCCTTTTCTGTAATGAGTTTTCTTATTTTATCATTTTGATTAAATAATAGAACAATAGAGACCATTGTATGATCTTCATGAGTCGAATATATGAAATATCTTAACAAAATTTAAACAAATATTATACCTTTTATGTAAAATACGTTCATCCACGCCAACCAGAGTGCAATCACGTGATGGATCACGTGTAAGAACGTTATTTGCGATTTCTTCTTTCTTAGGGAGTAAAATATCTGCAAAATATCAAATTATACAATGATTAATTAATGCAATTAATTAATATAAAAAATAAATTAAATAATTCTAATGAAATATCACTCACTGTATCTAAGAGGTCCATCATTTTGTTTGAGTAATAATAAAACACTGTAATGAAAATCTGAAAATAAAAATAATTAATATATTTATGTTAAGCTCCTTCAATAAATTAAACTTTGAATGAAACTTGACGAAAATATTTGGTTAAAAAAGTTATAAAAAAAAATATTGAACTGTAATAACTTAGATTAAGCATTTATTTCCAATAATTAAACATAGTAATAAAGAAAAAAATGAAATCAATTTCATACTTCATACTAAAAAGATAAAATAATAACTTATAAAATGATATTTGACTATAGAAATGAAAAAAAAAAAAAGAAATGATATGCAACTGACCAAAAATTACAATTAATAATAGAAAATCCACCTACATACTTCCTCATATTAGTTTTTTTTTTTTTGTCCTTCCCTTCCTCGCCGTTAAGGCTATACGAGATTTTCCCAGGCCAGGCGGGGATTTAAAAGACTCCCTCGGCACCGGGACGCGAATTCGTGTCTATTTTTAAATCTTTGATTCATTTATCAGGTTGCCGGGCAACGGCGGTGCAGTGCACACGCGTTAACGCATTCGGCCACCTCCCTCCCCCCCCCACTACTTGTAAGCGGTTGAGGAGTCCACCATTTTTATAAATAAATGAATGAATAGCCAGGAGTGTTGTCAAACTTCCTCATCATCCACTCCTACCTTACTGATAGATGCTTTAAAGTAAATCACAAAAACTCTTATTCATCTGTTTTTTCCCAGTCTGCTGGTGTTCCTCAAGGTAGTATCCTTGGACACATGTATCCTATCTGTTAATAATGATCCATCAACTGCATCCCAAATTCTCCAATCACATATCACAAACGTTGAAGAATGGTGTAAAAACTGGAGAATTAAAATAAATTCCACTAAATCCCATCAAATTACCTTAACCCCGCGTCGCAAACCCATGACCTCCTGTCCTACAGTATCCTTTAATAATTCCTCACTTATTCAAGTTGAACAAACCCGTTACCTAGGACTCCACCTGGACAAACGACTCACATGAAATCCTCATACAAGACTGAAACGACAAGAAACTGCTCGACGTTTCCGACTACTCCAACACTTACTAGACAAACGCTCTAAGCTTTCAATCAATTACTAACGACTCATATATATGACAATAATAAGACCTATTTGGACTTGCAGAATTGAGCTTTGGGGCTCCACTAAAACATCGAATTCCTCTCGTATCCAATCCTTCGTAAAATCCTCAACGCTCCTTACTTTGTCACAAATAAAATCATCCATAAAGACCTCAATGTTCCATATGTTTCCGATTTGGCCCAATCCAGATACCTATCTTTCCATCACAAACTCCAGAACCATCTGAACCCTCTCGTTTCAAACTTTGCTTCCTCCTCGATCCCTGATAACCTTCCGAGGCGTCGGAAAAGAAGATAGCCTCGTGATCTACTTATGTAAATATATTATTAGAGTGCTACCAATGGGTAGTTTCTCAACAAGCGTTTTCATGTGATTGTATTATTACTGTGTGCACATTTAATAGTTGTATTTTTTTTTATAATACAGTTGTAAATATCAAAGAATAAAAAATAAAAATAATAGAAAAAATTAACAAATATACAGGGTGTTTCAGGGTTAAGTGGCTAAACTGAAAATATCAACGAAGTGCTTCAAAACAAGAAAAAAAATGTTCTATGAAGATTTCTGAAAAATTAATATAATGATAAAGTTCATTTTCAAAATAAGCGACGCATTATCAATCAAATATCAAAGGAATATCGGAATTAGAACAATATCGCCACAATATTAATGTTACAATATTTTAGATTTAACTTAATGGAACTTTTCTTTCAAAGTATTACTATTTTATAAACTTGTAATGTAGTACTTATTTATATTATTTAACCTGAGAATTAATTGTTGACATTACCTCTTTTTGTATATCTGGACCGGTGTGTACAGCTGATACTGGATTACATAAATTGCTCCATAAGTTCATTAAACTCATTCCCATCAGCGAAAAGCACTAAAAAAAATCCATTATTATTAGCTCTCATTTTTTTAGAGTAATTGTTAGATAATGTAATGTTAATAAGGTAAATTTAATTTAAATTTAAAAGGTGATTTGAAATGAGATATGTAGTGCTGATAATAATATTCAACACTTTTATTTTCCTGCTCAATATAAATCACATTTGTGAGCATGCATATTTTAGCATACATTAAAAGTCTGTTTTGAAAAAAAATAACTATTGCCATGATAGAAATATAATTTTGAAATACTTTAGGTTATGTTTTAAGCCCAACTGACCGCACTCATGGGTCAATTATTTGATGAAACCCAAACAATCTCGTCGTCATAAGGCCTTATCAATATGACCTTGTGCCAAGTTGAGCAAACGAAACAAGAAAGAATAAATTTTGTGCAGTCAATGGTTGCACTAAACGTACTCACTGGTGGATAAAATCGACACACCAATTTAATTATGAGTTATCACCTCATAAAAGCACAATGCTTGTAACAAGATAATTATAGCTAAACGATTTGCCCTTAACAGGTCTGTTTAAATATTTTACTGAGCTACACTATCTTTGGTTCTATGCCATTAAATTTGATAAATGTGGTGCGAATAAAAAAAAAAAAAAATTAAAAAATATCTATAGCATCTATCAATATACACGGTGTTTCAAGGTCAAGAGGCCAAACTGCACGGCCAAAATAAAAATACGTTTTCCACAGTCCGACTAGTTTTCTGCGAAAAATATAATAAGAATATCACGTGAAAATTAATGAGTGATTAAGTCATAAAATCCTAGGGTATATGGATATACATATATTATTATTCGTCCGTGGTACAGATCCCTTTTTATAAAATTACTAATGCACCGGAAACTTCGTAAATAACCTTATCACATCGTAACCTACAAATATTTTATTTACGAAAATTCTCGGAATATAGGCGTTTTAAATCTGCAGGTCGGTAAACTTTATCTATTTAATTACGCACTAAAAACTCGTTAATACCAATTTACTTTCCAATTGAATCAGATGATAATTTGAGCAATCATAAGTCATAAATCATTGAAAAAAATCTGATGTTTCAAAACTGAAAGGGTTTCATAGTTAACGAATCTAGAAGTGATAAATAATTAAATTATAATTATAATAAACAAGTTCCTAAATGCAGTTGGAAAACTATGAAAATCACATTAGTGGGACAAAAAATCTCCACCTGCCTTAAACCCTCAAATACTTTGATAAGTATTTAGACTCGCCATTATAATCAAATATTTAAATTATATTTTTAAAAAGTCGCTAAATTTCAATTATATTTAAATATTTAGGAACAGCTGTTGCATCATTTCTGTTAGACGAGATAACCAAGGCAACCAGTTACTCTATTTCAACTGTAGAAGCTTCACTTCAAAGAGATGATTAAAGTTGAATATAAAGTTCCGAATCCACTTCAATGTAATTAAGTGGCCTGTCGTCACGATTCTGATATTTCTTTTGAGTGTTAATCGTGTGGCTTTTGTCAATGTTCATAGTCACACTTATCAGCGAAAATTTGTGTTTGTATTTGTATTGGAATGATGATAAGTATATAAGTATGCTGATATATATTTATTTTAAACCGAAATCAAAAGAGAAATTCCAATAACAAATGGAGATATGAGTCCTATACAAAGCTATAAAAACCAAGCTTAATAAATGTGCAATAAAAAAATATTTTTTGTCTCTTCTCCACAATATTGCCTATTGGTCAAATTTCAGAGTACAAACACTTTATACAAACTGAAATTTTTATTAATCATTTCTGGGTAATTATCATCAATAATTATCCAGTGGCATCCCGAATAAATATATCTCATCCCAAAACGTAGCAACATCATATGGATATTGGTTTATTCTATTCAATAATGAACCATTATGATCGAGAAAAAAAAATCAAAAATTTAATCCTCTCTCAAAATTTGAGATTTTACATTTCAGGATACCTAGAATTCAAAAAACGAATAAAAATCTGTTTGTACGTTTGCCGTCCCCGCATTTTCTCCAGGACTACTGAACCTTTTTTTTTTCAAATTTGGATATAAAATTATATCCACCCGAAGATGGTCTCCTTCATTGACATTTCTATCCGCCTTTTCCTTTCAAGATGGCGACCGAAAAACCTACGTTGCTATAGACTGTAGCGCCTAAACGAATGAACCAATTTCAATGAAACTTCGCTAAATTTTTTTTCTCGATGCCCTTTATATTTATCTATATAACATACCAAAACGAAAAGAAAGTGGAAAAAAAGTTACGAGGGATGGTAAAATTAGATTCCGAATAACTAAAAAAGTATACACTTTTTTGTCGATATTAGATAAGATGTTTCAAAAATATTTATATTTCATAAAAAAAAATATTCTTCTGCAAAGGTTGTATCATTTGTTTTGGATTTTGATTTTTTAGTGCGTTACTGAAGTAATGCTAAAAAAAATAGCATATTACTAATGATTAAAAACAATAATGTTTAGTCCATTAATTGGAATAACCTTTTATTTCTTTTTCTTTGTAACTAGAGAGGTTATGTTACTTTAGATTTATAATATTTTGGAAATAATAAACCATTGCTAAATAATTTGCAGCGTTTATTATTTACCAGAAATTAACATTTTTTTCTTGATTGGTAAAACACGAAAAGAATTTTCCTATTCTAAGAATGAACAAAACATTGTTTAAGTCCCCGTACGAATATAATAGGACATCCTTCCTCTTCGGCATTAAGAAAGCAAAAGATAATTGGATAATGTCATCTAATTACCATTAAAATGTTTAGCTAAGCGTTGAAATAAGCATGATGTAATATTTTAAATAATTGAAATGTAATGAGGCCGTTATTTTCAAAATTTGAAGTTCTTTTCCAAATACAATAATACAGTTTTCTGTACTTTACATTTGTAAATTTGTTTTCTTTCCACTTGACTGTCATAATTGATATACGTGGTTAAACTTGATATAATTGGTATACTATAATTGATTGTCGAGAGTAATAATTGTTATTGGCAGGATTTAATTGGTTTAACGATTATGAATTTAGAAGAGTTTTTTTTTTTTAATTGGTAGATAAGTAAGGTAAGAGGTCTCAAAGTAAATTGGTAAGAGATCTTAGGATGTTTGTGATTTTTTGAGGATGTTTTTGGTGTTTATCAATATAAACCTTTTAATAAATCTTTTAAACTGAAAAACATTTTTAAAAACCAAAATAAATCAACAAGTTCCTGAAAAAATATCGTCTGTTGCATGTGCCCCTTTGCCTCCTTCAACTCTATTTTTTAAATTGTTTGAGGCAGTTTTCTTCTACTAGTCTACTATTAAACTGTTGTATTTTTTTTTTATTTACTGAAATTCTCGTCTCAGTATATATATACTTAAAAATTAACTCTACTTAGAAGTGTTAAAAGAAGAAATTTCAGTAAATAAAAAAAAAATACACCAGTATTTTATATGTGTATATATGTGAGGCCGTATTTTCATTTCAAGTCACCCAACTGAACGATATGTTCAATGTGGTATGTCCTCACCGTTACCTTCCAAAGAGGCAGTATTTCTTTTAATCTTTAAATGGAAACAGTTAAACAGGAATATAGGGGGCGGGGTGGCCGAATGGCCGAACCACGAGTTGCCCTGCAACCAGATATATGAAGTTTTGAGAGACAAGAAAAGTACGATTTCACGTCCCGGTGCCAGGGGGGATTTTAAATCCCCTCACCCCCGGCACGGGAAAATCCCGTATAGCCTAAGAGGCGAGGTAGGGAAGAACAAAAAAAAAAAAAAGTTAAACAAGGATTGCAACACGAAAACATGAAAATTAAATTTTTACATTTATACGGTAGATTTATTACTGAGGAGATGGAAAAACTACTGAAGTTTAAACGGAAGTAAAATATGAGATTTTAGTATGGAGGTGTTTAAGGGATTCCAAAACAAGATAGCACGAATAATAAAGGATTTTTTAAATGAAATGAAAAAATAATTTTATTCTAGGACTACTGTTCCCTAAGAATAATAACAGAGTTACAAATTTATGGGTCTTAGTCTGACATAATAATAAAAATACAAACTAATTTACTGTTAATTGTTATTTCAATTGAAATAGATTAAAATTAAACAGTGTACAGATGCAAGTAATTTTACATGTTAGGGGAAGTTTGAATGTGAAGTAGGTGGTGGAACAGGAGATGTTTGAAGGAATTTGTGGACGAGGATTGACGCATGGAGGTAGGAAGTGAGTTCCATAAGGAAGCAGCACGAATGACGAAGGATTTGCTGAAGGAGGAAGTTTTATGGGAGGGAATATATAAGTCTATAGGTTGAGACCTAGTATTGAGAGAGTGGATAGAGGAGCGTAGAGTAAGGAGTTCCAGGATGTAGGGAGGGTTTTTGATTCTGAAGACCTAGAAAAGGAAAACACCAAGGAGGAATTGTCGTCGTGAAATAGGATTAAAAAAACAGGATTTAAAGGAAGAACTACGATGATAAGGAATATACAGGGTTTCTGGGCTCGGATCTTGTGTTTAAAAAATGAACAAATACCCAAGAGTAGTAAATGAATTAAGAAGATAAGGTTTTTGGTTGTAACGGTTTGAAGAAGGAATACCCCAAGGAAGTATGGCTGGAGACTCTAAAGATGAATCTAATAAAATTCATTGGTCTCTTAAATCTTTTCTAAATCCAGCTAGACCGTCTACCATATACAAGACAGCCATAATAGAAATGGGGAAAAATTAGAAAGGAAACTAGGAGCGAGCTGACAGGCTTTAAGAATCGTAGAATCACGGAATCTCAGAAGCCTAATTTTCAAATTTTCTTCCTCTGGAGCACATTTAATTTTGTTCATAAGAGATAATTAAAGGTTTGGCATTGTCATATAAAAATTGATAATATGGTGAACATTTTTTCGGTGGTCGAAAAAAAATTTCTGGAAGTGAAAATAGTGATATAAATAGATATACTGTTAAAAAGGTAAAACATTCTATAAAATGAATATCTAATACATAAGATCGTAAAATGTAATGGAGAATGACGAAAGCTACTGAATTTTAATAGTTGTAGTTAATAATTTCTACTTCAAAATTATTGAATAGGAAATAAACATTTGCTTAGAAGTTAAATCGAATTATTGTAATAAATATATGGAAAACAATATTTTTGTTTTCACCATGTTGAACCAAGTGCAAATAATTGTGACAATTTATATTAATTGTCTTAATTTTGGATTTATATTTGTATTTAAGTGATATGCATAATGCTTATAAACTTTTGAAAAAGATATAATTCCTTCTATAAGTACATGAGTGTAAGTTGTGAGCATGGCACATGATATTTTACAATGATTGTTTAGTTGCTAAAATCCTGAATTAAATTTAATTTCCAAATAATACGTTAATTTAGCACACCAGTTTATTTTATTGATTCAACTCACAGAAATGTTACAACCATACTATTAGTAAGTAAAAATATAATAATAAAAGAGAAGTTGGTTGCGGTTTTCAGTAAAAATACAAAGAAAAATAAATAAATTATACTTATTTTTATTTTTGCCGACGTTTCAGAGAAAATTTCAGGCCTTTATCAGGGCCTGTAAGATGTAAAAGGTTCCTGAAAGATAAAAGGTTTCGTGAGATCAGCCCTGATGAAGGACTGAACTTTGGGCCAAAACATCGGCAAAAATAAACATAAATATAATTTATTTATTTTTACTTTGTATTTTGACTAAACACTCCAACCAACTTCTCTTATATTATCTAATACATTCATCCATCAATCCACTATTAAAAATTTTAAAGATAATCAATCCATATTCACCTTCTTCACTATATAAACGTTAATCATAATCTGTACCAAATTGTACACCATGATGGTTTTCTTGAGATTCATTGCATTTCTGTCTCTCATTTTTCGAGGTATCCATACCTTCACCAAATATAGGTAGACTATTGTTAAAGGTAAAACAGCGAAATAACTCACAATTACACTTATGGAAATGTTTTTATCTGAAATAATATATAAGTCAAAATATAGAATTTTAAAATAGTTAATAATGATAATCATACCAATAACGTTTAAAAATATTATTGGCATAATGTATAGTTATAATTATTATACCATTATTTAATTAATTTAAGAACATTAAGAAATAAAATAAACGAAAAAATAGAAATCATGAAAAAAATATATTCAAGTTACGTCACTTGCTTCTTAAAAACAGTATTAAAATATTTTTACCTAAGCTATTGAACGAAGACATATCTTATTCGCCAACTTCAAGGATTGGATTCAACTGCTTCACACAAGATCTATTATAAAACAAAAATTGCCCCCCTCCAACTCACTGGGGATATTTTGGTTTAATATATGCCTAAATTCCTTCATTATAATATGCATAATGTTTCGTTTTTTTTTTTATAAATATAATTTTTTTTAATACAATGACAAGTTGTGAAGGCTTTAGATAATGAATAATTTGTTTTTTATTAATATTCATATTCGATTTTTATCTTGTTTATTTTTTTTCTACAACATGAATTCAAAACCTCACATCAATTTGTTATTAGAAATATATTTAACATAAAGTCTTTTGATCGTCATAGCCTATAAAATAATTATGCTTAATTCTGACTAAAACTAATTAATGAATTAAATAATTTAAAATATGAATAAATAAAAAAAAATACACATGCTTGTACAAGAATTGATCACACTGCCTCAAACTTTTAAATAAAAATATGAAATACATTCAAATTCTTTGTTAACATATTTTTAATTATATTGAAAAAATCTGGTGCGTGCAACACACAACTTTCACTTACCGCTCAACTTTGAATAGAAATTATTTCTGGCCAAATTGGGCTATTATAAAATTTTTGAATTGCATTTTTAACTGAGCAAAAGCTAAAAAATTACAGCTCACAAATCATAAACCTCATTAAAATAACAAAAGTCCTATTTATTTTATCAGCGGTTGATTATGGATTATACGATTCATTGATTATGGATTGTACGACTATTGGTTATTAAACTGTTGGTTTTCATTGCAAAGTTTACTAAAACGGAATTCAGAGATTTGCATTGTCTGTCATAGACAGGTCAAAAGTTGTCACACTAATTGTAAGTAGATACTGATGGAATATGACTAAAGGAAATTTCATCAAACTATTCACTAATTTAATTTTCTAAAAGATTACGTGATGATGTTTTCGTAATAAACGGACGTTGATACCTAATTATTTAAATATAATATTAGATCAAGAGTTATTAAACTACAGTAAATATATTTAAGGTTATAAACGAATCAATGAAATATTTATATATTTCACTTCTTCTTTCACAGAAGTACAATGAAATAGTAGGGGGTACTGTTGGAATATCACAAAGGTAAGATTTATCAAATTATTCACTAATTTAATTTTCTAAAAAGTTACATGACAATATTTCGGAATAAACGGACGTTGATATCTAATTATTTAAATATAATATCAGATCTAGAATTATTAAACCACAGCAAATGTATTTAGGGTTATAAACATATGCTTTATACATCCATGAAATGATTTTATATTTAACTTCTTCTTTCACACAAGTACAATGAAATAGTTTTTTAGACAATGTCATTGATCAGGTGGATTTTAAATATCTTTTTCAAACTTAGAACTATTTTACATTTAGTTAGTAAATTTAATTTCCTTGAAAACAAGTGATTTACGTTAGGTATTATTATTTTTCAAAAATTATTATTTTGTCACTCTACGTTACCTTCCACAACTTTCTATATTGGATATTGTTTTTTCTAAAATTCTCCGCTTTCCAACGATAAATTATACATATACCTTTTGACTAGTATTTCCGGAGATTCATTTTCGACCTGAATAAAGATTTTTATATTTTTTCTCCTTTATTCAATGATCTAACTCTTTCAAAAGCTATATTTAGCATTTATTCGTAACTCTTAATAATGAGGAATAGTTATTTAATTATTTAAAATAAACCCCTGCATTCAAGCTCTGTAAAAGAATTCTACGGGGATAAGATAATATTAAAGACCACTTAATTATACAATGATACACCGAGTTTAATCAAAATTGTTAGAGCCGTTTTAGAGAAAATTGTAAAAATGTGTTTCACCGTTGATATAAAGTGGCACTTCGGTTTGTCGATTTTAAGGAAAAAGTTGCTGTCACATCAAAGGCATATACCTATCTTAAATACGTTATATCAGTTTCGTGCGACTTTTTGACCTAGACTGCTAATATACAAACACACAGACACACAGATCATTTTCGGAACTTATTTGGACTCAGCGTACCTTGTCTATTTAAGTAGGTACTAAAAACTCATGAAAAAACCATTTCTTTTCTATTTGAATCTTAAGATACTTTTATCACAAGATCAAGATAAAAACTAGCATACAAAAATATTGAACAGTTTGGCATGACCTCTTCTCCCGACGTGCCAAAATAACGAGGTTATATAGGCCAATATTTTCGTATGTTCGTAGGGGGGGGGGGAGAAGAAGCGCCTAGTAGGTTACTATTTTCGGGTTTTCGCTTATATCATGAAAACTATCCATCGCATCGCGACAAAGACGCTCTATACAAAATTAAAGCGGATAAAATTTTCAATATTATTAATTATATACCTTTTTTCGCTATCTCCCTTAGTTTCTGAGATATCCATTCTCAGCTAATGCGGAAAGAAAAATTTACCTCATGTTTTTTAATGTATTTAACTGAGCTAATTATTGCTAAATAAAAGCTTGATTTCTTCGTTTTACGAATAAGTCATGAGGGGAGGGGGATTTTTAAAATTAAATTTTCTTTAAGAATATATATTATTTTACTAGTTTATTTCCAACGGTTCAAAACTTAGATCAGTTATAACTTTACATGTCGATTCCGAGAATTTGCAGAAAAAAATAATTTTTATAATAAACATTATTGTATGTATGTCTATCTGTATATAGTTAGATAAAATACACCTTAATATACCCAACACCACTCCTTTGTAGTCTTGGTAGCTGGGTATCTAAGGCTCCAGGTACCTCCAGCTCCATCAACACGACTGAGGCCATTTAGGCCGAATGTAACTCTGTTTGCTAAGCAGTCCAAGTGAGGCGTTATATTAAACTTTCTTCCAAATCGTTTCTCCTTGTATCTCCAAGGCGATTGGATGTTCCCTCCCAGTCGTGCCCCTTAGTAGGAGTACTTGGGTTTTGGCAGCAACCATCCTCTTTCTCCTACTTGCACACTATCAAGTTAGCGCATTTTTCTGCCCCCCAGTGTGACCCCCGTATACATAGAGAGTTAGATGTATAGAGAGTTAGAGGAATATAATAATAACGAATATTTTAAAAATTATTTTTTTCTGCAAATTCTCGAAATTGACTCATTAAGTTATCATTGATCTAACTTAAATGTATCTGGATTGGGTCAGATCTGAAACATAAAAAACATTAAGGTCATTATGGATGGTTTTATTTGTAACAAAGTAGGGAGCATTGAGGATTTTACGAAGGATTTTGGATTGTAAGGATTGGATACGAGAGGAATTCGATTGTTTAGTGGAGCCCCATAGCTCAACTCCGTAAGTCCAAATAGGACTTATTATAGTCATATATATGAGTCTTTGTTCCACGTGAGAGGCCTTTGGTTCGGAGCTCGCGGAACGATACCAGACTCAACAAGGAGCTTCATGGAGGGCCTTGGTGTCGACATAAAGGACGTGGCAAGGTTGGCAGAGAACATAATCCTTGACTCCCTGGGAATTATCCATCACCATGTGCATGGATAGAGAGTTTTTCATGGGGGGAGGCATGCGTGTTTTGCGGCATTTTTACATTATTTATTGACCACGTCCACTGCACTTTATGTATTTGTATGCATGTTATGAATTAGGTTAGGAAAAGAGAGGAGAAAAATGTATAGAGTGAGAGAAGGAACAGAAAGGGATGTATAGTGCTAATAAGTGAATTAAAGAAATAGTAAAAATAAATAAATAAATAAATAAAATAAAATAAAAAATAAATAAAAATATAGGAAAAAAATTGTGATAAAAAAAAAAAATATATATATAGATAAAAAAAAAAAAAAAAAAATGTATATTATGCTCATATATGTTGTTAATACTATATAATTGTATATTAGTTTTGGAAAATTGTCTGTAGCGATTAATAAGTATGCTGTGTTTAAAGCAACCCAATGTAATTGGGCAGCACCCTTTTATGATAATAAAGTGATTCTCTCTGGAAGTTTAGAGCGTTTGTCTAGTAAGTGCTGGAGTAATCGGAAACGTCTAGCGGTTTCTTGTCGTTTCAGTCTGGTATGAGGATTCCAAGTTAGACGTTTTTCCACTTGGAGTCCTAGGTAGCAGATTTGCTCAACAGGGATAAGTGGAGTATTGTTAAAGGAAACTGTAGGACAGGAAGTCATAAGTTTACGACGAAGAGTAAAGGTAATTTGGTGGGATTTATTTAAATTCTCCAGTTTTGACACTATTCTTAAAGATTTATTATGTGTGATTGAAGCATTAAGCCATTCAAGAATTTTTATGGGGATGTTGATTGTTTGATAAAAATTGTTCTGTACCACGGATTATAAAACTCGTCAATAGCTACTAAATAAAAAAATAAAATCAGTTGAATAACAGAAGTGAAAAAGGGACTGAAATGTTTCGCCTTTACCTACTTATATAAACGATTCTTCGCCTTGTCCACTTATATTATTTGTAAAAAATAATATAACAAATAGAAGATATTTCGTTCTAAACATCTGACGTGGACGAACCGATGTGGCTTGTTTAGTTGCCCCTTCCCAACACGTCTGAACGTTGATAATATGATTGAGTTGCCCCCACTGCTCCAGTTAACAAGGCGTCTTCATCAGTTGCGTGCTACATAAAAT